TATAAAGTGCCTGGAAAGTCTGAAATTGTGAGGAAAATCTCTCAGTATGGAAGCTCTTGTGATGCGGCAAATGCTCTTAAAATTTATATCTATTTTTGTTGTGCTTACAATGATGTTATGTTTGTGCAGGAAAAGTGTGAACTTTCAGTGGAATTGCAGTGAAATGTTCCATTTCACGTTAACCTAGAAATGGTGTTTGTTTTGGGTGTTTATATTATTTTCTCTGACTTATTTTGCGTGCCAAACATTTTATGCTTTATCAATTTTGGATTTTGTACCCCCGAAATTGATCTGCCAATCAATTCACGAGAGCGGAGTTAATTTCACCTTTGTTAAGCTTCTCGCTGAAATCATCAACACATGGAATCAATAAAGATATGTTTTCTATATCTGAATTTCATGGAAAACCACTTTTATTGATTTGCGAATTAATTCACAAACTCATCTCCTAAACCTGCAGACTTACACTGAATCCCTCGTGATAATCCATCGTAATAATTGGCACAGGGATTAAGAGCTTCCTTTCATCACTTGCAGTTTCGCAATTGTTTAATACTTAATAACCTTTCTAGCTCAGAGAGAAACAGTGCAAAATTATGGGAAGAGAGAAAGAGTAATTTGAAAACTTCTTAATTAAACCCATTTCTTTCTCAATCTAATTGAGATTCTCTTGAAAATGTAGAGAAAATCGACAAACTGTATTCATTAATATCACTTATAATTCATTGGATTTCATCGAAGAATCTACATTGAATGATACAAATTGAAAGTGTGGAAATCTTCAGACTTTGCTCATGTTGCACTATTAATTGATTGATTGGCCATTCGTGAAATTTTGTGCAGTGAGTTTCGAATCGATAACCTCACAAGTGAAGATGAAAAAGGGGAGAATGGAAAGAGTGGGCAAAACTTATTGAATTGGCAAAGTTTTCTATAAAGTTTTCCCAGTGAAAATTGCTACTTAAAGTCTCCATTTGCTGTGCAAATGCATCATATGGTCAGATTGCTATGTATTTGAAAGAGAGAAGACTTTCCTAAGTGTGTGCAAAGTGTAAAGATCCCATTAAATATTATGTGTACATAATCGTAATCTGTGTCGAAATGGTGGTTCAGTGCCAAAAATCTGTAAGACTGAACGAACGTATAGAAAATTTCTCAGTGCTTTGGCGCTATTTTTTCTCTTCCGTACAAGGAAAGGATCTCTGATGTGAAGGATGTGAAATTTCATGTAATATTCAAGAATATATTCTCAGAAGAAGCCAGAGTTGGAAGCAAAGCATTGGCGTTTTGCTGAATGCTGGATTTTCTGATGTAGAAGATTCGACCATAAGCTAACCTTTCTCACAATTCGACTCAAATAGTGACAAGAGCGAGCAATAAGAGTTATCATGTAACATGCATTTATTGTAATTTGTGATGAAGAACTCTTGTACTTCAATTCACTTTTATCTCGCATTTCTGCTCGCTTCATTTCTCTTCTCTCTTGAGATGAGACACAATAATCATTTGCACGCAAGATTTTCCTTTTTCGCTCGCAATTCCGAAATGAAAATGGTGCAATCGTTCATTAGTAACATTATATCAGTTTCTCTGTCTGCTTGCTTTTTTTATTCTGACACTCTTTATCAATAATTATACACGTTCTGGTTGGGAGAGTGAACGAGAGATTCTCACACATTAATGTTCACGGGGAAAATCGATGAATATCATGAGTTTATCTAAGCTGGCAATATCGCTGTGCGAGTGGAAGAGACAGAATTAAGCCATAATCTCATGATATAATCTGTTAAAGAGGTTGAAGAGGTGATGTGAGATGGTCTTTGGGTAGAATTCTTCCAATTCTTCAGGTTGACATTCTGAAGATGCTCTTTTGCGTTTGTCAACGCACCGACAAATCTCTCCTCACCGTTATAATTAATGCATTTAATGATGTATAATTTTCCATCCTACACCGAAATCATTGAATCTTCATTGGTCTTTTTACTGGCAAATGTGCCACTAATTAACGATGAAAGCCACCGAAAATTTACACAGACTTTTTAGCTAATCCATTCTCTGAGTTTTTCACTCTCGAGACTCGCACGAGTTACATAGAGAATATATGAATAAATTATGGGGTGAAGAGTGAAAATGGTTAAATTTTCACCCACTTCCAACTTTGTGTAATGAAAGATGTCTTTCCCGACAAAAGGCCCTTTAAATGGGATTCACATTAAAATCTCTGCCCAGATATTGTACAAAATTGTCCATCTGTCGGAGTCATTAATCGTGTGAATGGCTTGTAAATAGTAATCAAAGAATAGCGAGAATATTGACGAATGGCTTTATCGAATATAAAGAAAATAAATACCTTGGCATGGGGTGAGCGCTCATGAGAGATACAATAAAAATGGTAAAATGCCGCTTTTACAGCTTCATTGTCTCCCAATATTCTCTATCCCTTCGAGACTCTCTAAATTCTATCGATATTTCACGAGATTCAACCATTAAGACAAGTTCTGGAAGTCTTTTGGGAGTGTTTTTCTTCATTGTCGTAATAGGAGGAAAAAAAGAGGGAAGTTCATCTGAATTCCCATATGATATCACTCTCGAATCATTTACCCACTAAATTGTGTTCCTTTTGCTCGCTTTTCTCTTCTGCCAATATGGGGAGTTTCTCGCTCTCTCTCGAGAATTCACATGTGAAAACGCTTTTAACTCTATGAACGAATGGCAATTTCTCAGGAAGAAGAAGGCATAATAAATAAATTGGTGGAAATAAATTTTTGTTCTGCAAATGACACATTTTACCAAGCATTTTGCAGATGTATTTAATTTTTGCTCTTCAGTGCAATTAATTGCAACATTGCCATTAATTTATTCCCGCAGTCAATGTTCTCGAATGTGTGGCTAATATAGAACATGAGTTGGAACAATGTGCATTAATTGGTGTTTGAGTGTTGATGATGCATCCGAAATTGGTTGTCTGTTTTTGGATAATTTCTCGTTATGGGCATTAGCAATATTCACTACTAAAACAATTAATTTGTATGGGAATATAAGTAGAAAATCCTCTCAAAGGCAATGAGAGGACTTTGTCAGATGAATCGCTGTACTTTGTCCTTTCTCTGTGATTATGTGGGAAATGTGTTCTGAGGTCATTCATGACAGAGACTTTGATATTCTAGATTTATTCCTCCCTTTCACTCAAACTCCTCAGTGGCCCAGGAATAATCTCCATGCGAGAGGGTGGTTTTGAGTGACTAACAAGAATCTCTCTATTGTTGTGAGGATTCTCCATGATGATTTCGTGGGGAGACAGTGAGAAAAGAGCACGAAGTGGCATGAATTGATGATGACTCACGATGAAGTTTATGTACAAATTTGGCCAAAATCACAGACAAACAATTCGCCTATTTGGCAGTGTTCCGTGGCCAAAGTAAGAAGAGAAGAGAAAGTGATTTTCAGACAAGGGATGATGATGACACTAAAGTTTTATGCGATAATGATGAACTTTATTCATCGCCACGAGGAATTCCTATTTGAAATTTGCCGTTTTATTTATTGCCAACCCTCCTTTTGCTGGCGCAAAAAGCGTAATTATATGATTTTCTGAGTTGGGGGGAAAAGCAGGGATGATGAGTCAATTGAATTTGCTAACGCGAGGGGAGAAATCGTGGAAGGATGCGGAGGCTGAGATTATGTAATTGGAGGTTCTGCATATGAGCGTTAAGGGCGATCGTTGTTCATACCTCGTGTTTATTCAATTTAATGTCATTTTAATGTTTACCCATTTGAGCGACAGTAGCATTTAGCTTTGTGTTATTATTTTTGTAATTTCAATTAGATTGTCCCTCAGTAGCTAATTCTGCATTAATACCGCATAATTTAAATAATTGCTGTACGTCTTGAGGCGAAAAATGCCGTGGAATCATGTTAAACCACTTTGAATCGTTTTAGGTTTTTTTTTCTATCTGAGAGTGTTTTTTTCTCTCTAATATTCTTCTCTCTTTCGTGGAGTGTTTCCCAACTCGAGGCTAATTTGTTCTCTATCTTCGGGCAATGTTAGTTTACAATCTAACACAGTTGTGTCTTCTTACACACTCTGGAAGAGAAATGCTGCTAATTGTGCGCACTAAAGACTTGTATATTTCTCCTTTTAAAATAAACTACCTAACAGTACAGTTGAAGGACATAAGAATTTGACCATAATTGCTTTCTTTTCTCCCAAAATATTTGATGCATTTATTTTGGAGGTTGTTAACCAATTATTGTTGATTGGTGAGGCGACAGAATGGAGAGAATTTCGGTGGTTTTTCTTTTGTGTTAATCAAATCAACAAATATAATCCGGTGAAACAAAACAGAATATATAGAGCCAATTGATGGTGTGAGAATTTTTATCACGAGCCTGTCATGGCTTCTAAATTTGGCTGATCACTGGGCTTTCAGATGCACGATCGCGTGAAGATTTTTCGTCGCGCCTGTCCATCACTTGAATTATTTCCGCTGCAGCGCTCTAATTGAACAATGAGTGTGATTTCTTCGTGGCTCTTTCGAAGGAACATCAAAAGCCACCCACAATTTTCCCAGAAGATGCCTTCTCAACGGGGGGCTTTTCACACATCGTAATCACGCACATTTTAAATACCGAGGGGATCTGTATAGAGTGAAAGATTAATTTCCCAAGTTTCACCCGAGCAAATTATCGCATATTTCTGAGATCAAAACAAACACTGAGTTAATATATTTGACAAGTTGTGCAACTTCACAAAGTTTTTCAGATGTTTTCTCTGATGAAAGTTGAACACTTTTAAGGTGGAAATGATGTGGGATTAACCCCTTGGCTGAGTCACTGAAAAATTCCTCTCACTTGCAAATCATTCCCGAACAGAGAGAAAGAGAGAAGATCTCAATTGCATTGTCGGGTGAATAAAAATACAACTCACAAAGTGGTAAATTCAATTGAAAAGGTATAAATTTAATAATGAAGAAATATGTTAGTAAGAGTTGAAACTTTACCGGTGAACACTAAAACCATCACAATCACTTGCTTCATTGTGGACTCAATGTGTGTGATTCTTCAGCAAAAGTAATCCTTGTTCCAGAGACAATCTGGAATGTTGATGGATAATTAGGGAGAAATTCCCTCTCAGGTAAATCTCCTCCCGTCTTGTATTCCTCTGCACGATGTCGTGTTCCGGAACTATGTGTAAAAGTATTTTTTTTTTATTTAAATTGGATGTTCTCACTCCTCAGCCAAACACTTCACAAAATACACCGTGTGAATATTTTTTCGCGTGAATCGCCAGAGAAAAAAATCAATTTACAAATCACTTTCTCACTCTTGTTGTACTTCTAAGCCACTTTGGCGAAAATTTATTGCCTCTTCTTCTTCTTGAGCGCGGAAGGGGGATTTTTTTTTCCACGAAGAGACACGCGGGATGCCTCAAAATGGAAAGTGTGGCACAAATCTCTCTGTGGTGGTTAAATTGCCCGAGATCACGTAACTTTTCCTCCCCACAGCACTTCACCCACCGGACTTATCAATTAAACTATCGCACACTGTTAATTTCCATCGCACCAATTTCTCTGCTATCAGTGCTCTCGAATTCAGTTGATAATTCTTGTCTGGTGGCAAGTAATTAAGTCACACTGTGTGCGAACGTCTTGGGCACAACAGAAGCTCTCTTTTCGCTTGTGTTTTTTTTTGGCCACTCTTCTGTGAATGAACTTTTTATGGGTGTATTTTTATTTTTTTGTTCCTTCCTCGGGATAGCCGATGTTTTGATGCCGTCTACTTCGCCTCCATTGCTCCTGGCCGTGGAGTGGAAGGAGAGCGTGCTTTCCCTGAAATTTATGCGAATAGGGATTGCCGCCCTATTTTTTCTTTGCTTCTTTCACTCACTGGAGACTGTCGAGTGTGTTTCGTTTTATAATGCTATAGTGTGGCAAAATATTAGGAAAATCAATGGTACAATTCACAACACATCACAATTCACGTACAATCGCCCGGGCGACGGTGTGATAATCGCGCGTGTGAGAGTCGAGGAACTCCTCGCGTCCGTTCTCATGTACGTTCAGACAGCGACTAGTGCTGTGCTTGGAGGAGAACTCCGACCAGACACACCACAATTCATTTTCAGTTCGAACGGGCCACAGAGAGACGCCGCGTTCCACTGGTTGATTACGGCTTAATACACTCTGTGTGACGTGCAAGAGGTGGATGGCTGCGGATAGGTGGTGTGAGGTGCACACAGATCCGATGATTTCTGCATCAAATAAACACCCGATGCTTATCGGGATATTATGGCTGGTGGAGGAGGAGGACCATGTGGTTGTGCTACATGCGCTCCCAACCGACTGGCACACTTTTACCTGTCTCACGCCGAGTTCTGTGGTCCAAGGCTGCGCCACAATTGGGGATTCCGGGCGGATACACACGGAGGGAGATCTGCCTGAGACACAAAATGTCTTCAGGAGGAGGAAATCAATCACACGGCCACAAATTTCAACCAAAACTCCAACGCCAGTGAAAATCATCTCATATTCCTTGGCAATCTGTGCTTCACAATTTTCTGGCCGGGATTTGGGATCAAAGATTCCCTGACTGGAATTTTAAGTGGACGAGAAAATCTGGATCCTTTATTGCTTTCTCCACCAAAATGCATCGCGTATAACTATTGAGATATTGATCTGATATAGCAGTCCATTTACATATTTATCACACACATTCGTATACACTCAACGCATATTTGACTGGAGTAAATATCTGATAGTGGAATATTTGCTCTTCCCTGTTTAATTACACATCCCAGTTTGGAACTGACAAATAGTTGGATTTTCGCACTGTTAACTCAACTTTTGGACAAATGCCTACAGGCCAACACGAATTGATAGTTGACTCCCAGGTAAATGTGGAGCGCATAAAAGCCGATATTGTGCAATCGCTGGCTTGAGTCTGTGTGTAATTGATACTTATGGAATTCGATCTATCTCGAGATTAAATAGCGCGTACAATTAGCGATGGGAATTTTTTATTCTCTTAACATTCTTCTTTTAATACTTATGTGGGAACTTTCTGACCGGCGTTCACGCAAGAGATTTGCACGAAAATACATAAGATTGTATGTTTTGATTGGGTTTATTAAGGGAGGAACAGCAAATGTTGTAAATCGATTTTATTTGATTGTTTTAGCAAAACTCAAGAACGCTACTCGATATTTTGTGGCTCATTGAAGTAGTGGTTAACAATAGAAACTTCTTAAAAGTGATCACAATCAATCCGTTTATCTTATCTCTACATTTCCGACACTGTATATAATTCCCTCTCGAGCTGCGCTGCGAAATTATAGCCTAACATTTCCAGTTTCACAGAGTAATGCATGACTTTTACCACCGCAAATGATCACTTTATTTAACATGAGTCACTAAAGATAGCAAATCATTTGCAATATATCCTCTAATTTATTAATTAATTCACTATTTGCTTGAATAATTTCAGTGTTTGTCGTATAAACTTGAAGTTGGACGCGTAAATTAAAAATATTGACTCTTTTATTTGCTCGATCTTTAAGCAAATAGTAAGAATTCTGGTGTTCCATTTGAATCATTAAGGTTTGTTCGCTACTTTTCGCTTCATTTGAATACTTAATTACATTTTTTTTATTGCGTTACTCTGCGGCGGTCTTGTGAAATGTGGTGGATTTAGGGCAGTTAATGCTCAGGAGATCTCTATTTCACCTCAACATGATTATGATTGATATTTGTCTGCGCATGATAATTCCATAATTGTAACACTGGAGGGTTTTTCACAGAAAACACACACGTACTTCAGAGTAATAACGAAATGTTTGTATTCTGTTGAGTTTGTCCTAAATAAGTCCTGCATTTCCAGGACAACATTGTGGATTTTTGTCGAGCCTTGAGGGATCCTTTGCGACAATTTACAATGTTTCTGCACCGTCGAGGAAAATCCTTTGGGAGAGATAGAGCGAGAGAGAGAGAGAGAATGAAATTCCACTTTGGTCTATTTCTCCCAATTCAAGCAATGTTTCCATACATCCTTCTTTTTTCCGGGTGTAAAGACAAACAAACAAAAAATACTCGTCTATCTCTTGGTGTGCAAAGAGGATGCATTTTCCTTGCAGGTACGCAAAATCAACATTCATTCTCAATAGATTTTGCCAACCGAAGAAGGGAATCCTATTCTATTTCACGCTATTTTCCTTTGCTGCATTGTAACGGCTTGGCTATTCACTTAGAGAGAGAGTGTTGGAAAATATCCTTTCTGCACGGGAATTTCACTTTTGCCACACAATTACGCTAAACAATGCAGAATTCTCCGTGGATATTGAAGAAGGATTTTCATCCACTCAGAATTGTTTCGATGTAATTAATTTTAGAAGGATTTATTTCACACCACAGAACACGTGTGACAATGCAATTCCTCGTGTGAATCCTGCAGCAGATCCTCCGTGTATTCTTCTCTGAAATAAGCTAGAAACAGGCTAATATTGACGCAACTTCTTTGGGACAAATTGCTTCCTCATTCTTTGAACTGACTTCTTTGCCATTTCCATATTTCATTTTTTTCTTTTTTGAATATTTTGCGCTTTTCGTCCGTCTAAAGTTTTCTCCCTCATTAATAATTTTATCTCTTCGTACATTATTTAAGTGCCAAATGAGTGCAAGAGTGTGGAAAAAGTACCATTTGTCGAGGATGAAACATTTCTTTATCGCAGCGAGCGCCAAATGAGTGGCGAGGGTGGTTGAAATGGATGTAAAAATACATCGAAAAATTTCCGCAGCACAAGTTTGAGAATTGTGGGACAGCACACGGTGGAAAAATGATGCTCCAAGCTGTTGTTGGGTGATGAATTTATTGTTTATGGGATCGCCAGACAGAGAGTCATTAGCATCAATTGCATCTTTCCTCATTTTCACCCAACAACTATGGAGATTTATTTATGAAATTTGACGAGTGCTGTTGCTGTGGTGATTAGAGATTTGGGTGAAGGTCCTCATCTAATTTTCACTCCCACACAATGCCACAGAGAGACTCTCTTCCCGCCCAGACTGCGTTGGGGGAAATTGAGCATGAGTGAGATGTGTGACAGTGGGCAATTCTGGAGGCTGTTCTCGGCAATCAATCAATTTTCCCGTGCCTGAAAATTGACAAAACCTCAAATAGTGCATCAGTTAGACTCCTCTGTGGAAAAACCCCTTCTGCATTCCATTTTTGCCGCCCGCACAAAACGTCGAGTGAGACAAAGTGCCATTTTCCCAATTCTGGAGGACTTTTTATATGAAATGTCCAAATTTTATACTGTGATGGTCTTTATTTAAAATTCTCCGAGAGTTTTCCCATTTGGGAGATTATGTGGCCGAAGAAGACGTTATAATATATTTCTCTTTGACGACTTACTCGCGCTCCCATCTCCAAACTTGGAGGAAAGACGGGGAAAATGTGTGGCTGTTGAAGAAGGAGAATCACTCTTTAGAAGTTCTATACGAAGAATGAAAGAAAAATACTCTTGAGAAGTCATATCCTTCTATTTGGCTCGCGAGATGAGAGTGGAGGAAAAAAGGGAAAAGATGAGGAGTTTCCAAAACTTTCGTCTCTCGTGTGTGGGTCCTGTCCGAAAACACCACCCACTCACGCCACCCTCTTCTTGGCAACTCTCCCCGTAATCCACCCACACACTGATCGCACTATCTCGCAAGAGATTTTCCTTAAGACTCAATAAAATTCACAGTCATCCCATTAATATTTCCACTCTTTTATTTCCCACCATAATTTACTCTCCCACTTTTGCACTTCTTTTTTCGCAAGAGTCCGAAAATACAGCGTAGTTTTTACATCTTTAGACGAGTTTTAATGAGAAAATTCAGTGTGCAATCTTTCACCGGTGAATCCCAAAAGGACGAGAGTTTCCATCGCTGTCAGGAGACAATTTATCGGACAACCAAATTAGGACAATGAAGAGTCCAATGTGATTAATTAACTTTGGTGGGAAATATCAAAGAAATGTCCCGTGAAAATATATCGCACAATTAAAGATGAAAGACTTTTGGACATGTGGTGAGAAGAGAGTGACTTTATAGTCACTCAAATATGCAGTAAATGGAGCAATAAAGAAAAGACCAGCATGTTGACTTGTAATCTGGACATTGATGAGTTTTTGATATGGAAATACTCGTAAATTTTCAAGATGTTGATGATTTATAATGATTTCTCAACAGGAATTCTTCAAATTGCTCTTATTTAACCATTTAAATTTTGCCGCTTTCAGAGGCGAGAACACACGGTGTGGGTTATTATCAGTTCTCCACGGACGAGGAGGAGCGAGCCAAGCAGCAGAAGGAACTGGAAGTTCAGCGATTGGCGACTCTGAATGCCCAGAAAGAGCGCGATGAGCAGCGAAAGGCACGCGATAAGATCATCAAGGAGCGTGTGAGGGCGGCAAAGAATCGTCAAAGAGCTCGAATGGGATTGCCACCTTTGGAGGCAGAAGATGAGGAGAAGGCTGCAGAAGAAGACGAGGAGACACTGAAGAGACGCCAGGAGGAGGAAGAGGCGAAGCAGAGAAAGGAAGAGCTGGAGAAGAGAAGAGATGAGGAACGGCAGCAGCATGTTCGACCGTGGGATAAGGAGAAACTCCCTGAAGACGAGCCCAAGGAATGGGTGTACAAGAGTGAGCGCGAGCCCATGAGTCAAGAGCAATGGGTGGAATTGAAGAGACAGGAGAGACCTCAGGAATTCGCTCCGATTGTCGAGGAGTTGCCAAAGTATCAAAACGTCCCGGAAACGAATTACCAGGCTGAGGAATATGAGGAGGAAAGCAAACAGTTGTACTTCACATCGAAGAAGAAGCCTCAACAGCAGTTTAAGAAGAGGAATTACGTTCCTGAACCCCCACCGGAATCTGTTCCAATTAGGAATGAGCTCAGCGATGACAGCGACGATGAGAGTCGCGGGAAGAGAGCAGAAATCGCTCCTCCGGCCACTTTTGACTACTACGGCCCAAGTTCCAGCAAGCAGCAGAAGCGCCAACCAATGTCCGGCATGGATCTCGAGCGCTCCATCGAGGCGGGACTGAAATTCCTCAGGGAGCAGAGCAGCAAGGGTGGGAATAAGAATAAATGGGCAGCCAATTCGGACTACTGAATAAAGTTTTGTTAAGAGCACGTGGCCATGTTCGTTGGCGCAGCATTTTGAATTCCACTATGAAAAGCACTTCAGATGGCGCTTGTGTTGTTTATGATTTCGTTATCCAAATTTATCCAAGGTTTATTTAACCTTGATCTGCAAACGCTCTGCTGAAGCTGAAAAGTCTGTTTCCTCGAAAGATTTGGCCCAAGTGCTAGTTTTTCTGCATTAGAATTCTTCAAGAAGGTATGTGTAACCTTTCTCTTCTAAAATATCAGTCGTTCACTAAGTATCAGACAAGTTAACAAGTATTTTTCATGCCTTATAGGTTATCAGTTGCATGGAGGACGATTTGCTGATCCCCCGACAAAATATCATTCTTTAGAGAATGTTTTCCAGTCTGAGGCACTGAGAGATTGGCCTCGAGTATTTATCTTGCCATAGAACAAAGGAAGGGAGTCATTAGATATATCAAACTGAAGTGAAATGTTGAGGAGTATTATCGCTGGACGACAACTTCTGGGCAGTGGCGGGAGTGTCTTTTTCGGTCCATCCACGAAATTCACAGTGAAATCCACCTCCTGGACATACATAGCGTCCCGTGTGCTGGGCACCAGACCGCACTTGTGCAGCTGTCAGAGTCAAAATGTGCCCCAACCAAAGCGACCACTTCCAGAGAGATTTTGGTATGAGATCAAGACGACAGTGTCTCCATACGCCCGGCTAATGAGGATAGATCGCCCAATTGGTGAGATATTGACCGAATTATGCTTGTCAATTTGTCTGACAGCTTCCCTTGCAGGCTCCTGGCTGCTCTTCTGGCCGTGCGCCTGGGCGACGGGACTGGCAACGGCTCCCGGATGTTGGCCAGACTTGTGGCTGTTGGCTCTGTTTGGCGCTGGAGCGTTCACGATGCGCGGCGCCGGATGCACGATAAACGACATGTGGGATCGGGATATTGATGCCAAAGTGGAGAGGACGAAGAGTCGTCCCCTCGTGAGCGGAGAATTGAGTCAGACGGACGCCCTGGCGCTCCTCGCGGTGCAACTGGGCGTTGGCTGTATTATCCTGCAGAACCTCAACTGGTATTCCGTTGTCCTGGGCGCCAGTTCGCTGGGTCTGGTGGTGATCTACCCTCTGGCGAAGAGAGTCACGTACTGGCCACAGTTGGTGCTGGGCATGACGTTCAACTGGGGCGCACTGATTGGATGGAGTGCCACCCAAGGAGCGGTGAACTGGTCCGCCTGCCTGCCACTCTATGCCGCCGGCATCTGCTGGACCATCATCTACGACACCATCTACGCGCACCAGGACAAAGTGGACGACGCCCTGCTGGGCATCAAGTCAACAGCTCTGCGGTTCGGGGACAAGACGAAGCTCTGGCTGATGGGCTTCTCTGTTGCGATGACATCGGGTCTGACCACTTGCGGGCTGCTGTGCAACCAATCCTGGCCATATTACGCGTCTGTCGCTCTAGTCACGGCTCATGTGGTGCACCAGATCTCCACGCTGAACATCCACAATCCTCAGGATTGCGCCAAGAAGTTCATCTCCAACCACCAAGTGGGGCTTCTGCTCTTCGTCGGGATTCTCTTGGGCACTCTGCTGCAGAATGCCGAGAAGAAAACCCTACCAAAGCCTAAAATAATACACGAAAAGCAGCAGCTCAGCATTCAGTGATCACCGGTGAGTTTTTCTGCTTTATTCGGATTTTTTTTAATGTAGGAAGATGACTTAGTAAAAAATGAAGAGAGAAATATAATTGTGCGTGACCTCGAAGAACCGGTCCAGAGTTCTCTATTTTTGGAGGAGTTAAAATCACGAAAACCATTCAATCATTTTCTAATGCACTCTGTTTATTCCGTCATGAAACAGCAAAGATTTAACATAGGAAGTGAGATTTAATACTGAGACTGAATTCGTTCCTAAATACCTTCGGCAATTATTGTTGTCACTCCTCCGTGCTGGTCTATGAACTGATAAGCTTGAACTTGTTGGTTAATATTTGCGTAATTTGCTGAATTAATGTCTGAGCTTTCTCCCAAATTCAACCGTGGATTCTCTGGCATTTGCGAAGGAGCTTCAACTCCTGCTTCAATACGCTTGCGTCTCTGCTCATCGAGTTTCGCCTTCTTGAGGGCATTCAACTCCTCGGGATGAACAGTCTTGCGGTGGGTGTAGAAATTGGTGGAGCTGTTGAAGATGCGCTCGCAAAAGGTACACTTGTACTGCTTGCTGTTCTCATGCTGAGCCACATGCACCGTGAGAGCTCTCTTAAGCTTAAATGCCCGATTGCAGATCGAACACACGAAGGGCTTCGCATCCGAGTGTCTGGTGAGCTGATGGCGTCGCAGGAGAGACTCCTTTTTTGTCGTGTAGTCGCACACTTTGCAGCTGAAGACGTTGGAGCTGTGCAGGATCATGTGGGACTTCAAGCAGCGATTGTTCATCAGCCACTTGCCGCACTTCTGGCACTGCACCTGATCTTTCTCCCTGGGCTGATGAATTGTGGCCATGTGCTCATTGAGGCCCGTCCTTGTGGCGAATTTCTTCGCGCACACATGACACACGTGTGCTTCGCTCTTGTAGTCTGTGTGCGCGAGCTTCCGGTGCGTGCAGAGGCCGCCGGGTGTGTCATAGACCTTCCCGCAGATGTGGCAAATGAAGTGCTTCCGCACGTCTCGCGGCTGGTGAGAGAGTTTGTGCACTTGGAAGGCGTTCTTCCAGCAAAATCTCCGTGGACACTTGTCGCACGCGTATGGCTTCTCCTCCTCGGGCAGATGTGTCTTCTTGTGGATCTCCAGGAAGCGCGGTCTGGTCACCATGTAGCCACAGATGTCACACCGGAACGCGTCCGGCTGAATATGTCGCACCATGTGCATTATTATTGCTGGATATCGATTGAATTTGGTTGAGCAACACATCACATGTCCCTTCTCATTGTGCACCTTCGTGTGGTGATGGAAGAGATCCCGCAGATCCTTGAATCTCACCTTGTCCTTGTCGCACAAATAGCACTCGAGACTGTAGAATTTGCAGATGAGCATCATCAAGTCTCTGCCTTTGACTTTCAGCAGTCCATTCTCGATGATTTGCTTGGGGAAGTCATCCAAGTTCACTCCTCCTGGCCACTCATCCCAGTCGGACAGGTCCGAGGCTGCGTCTGAGTCGCTGTCATCCTCTCTGAAATCAAATTCTGCAAGCGAGTCGGGAAATCGCTGTTTTGTCTCTTCCACAGAAGCATTGATTTCAGGAATTTCTTGGATGGAAAATTCAGGTTCTTCTTTCACTTTTGGTGTCTTTTCTTGAGCAGGTTTTCTTCTCTTCGTCCCTTTAGGCTTCTCTCGCTTCTCCTTTGACTGCGGTTTCAATACATCCGTCTTTGTGGCGTTTCTCTTCAATGCAGCTGATCTTGTGACTCTCTTTTGAGGCGCTTGAGGCTCTGCCACTGATTCCTGCGGAGGAGTTTTGACTCTGGTCTCTTCTTTTATCACCATGAGAGTTTCCTCGGCATTTTCCTCCACTTTTTCGAGACTCTTCGGAAATGCAGTGAAGGAGTCAAAGGGATTATTGAAGACTATTCCTTCTGTCGCTTCCGACTTGATATTGTGTTCAATCTGTTCTGTTACGCCGTAGAATTTCTCAATGTGCAAACGCACCTGTAATTCAATAAGAATGGTAAGTTTATGAAGGCAAAATCACTAAGAATTTTCCTTACTTTTGCGTAGAAGTCTTCAAAGCTGAAAAGTATGCAGCAACAATCCTCACAAATCGCGTAACTAACCTCCAAGATCTGCGGAAAACCAAGTAATTCAGTGTGTTATTCTATTAAATTCACTTTCTACTGAATTTTACCTTTATGTGCAGATGTTTTTCCATTAAATACGGAATTATTCTATTGGAAATCACCTCGTCGGCAATGCTTTCTATTTTCCTAAAAGCGCCTTCCTTGGACAAGCACAACCGGCAGAAGGATGCATCAGCACCTGAAGTGCCGCCTAACACGTCCATTGCAGATGTTTGGCTTGCTTTTAGCAGATTATTTAATGCATTTTCTAAGCGTAAGAAATGTGGTCACATTGTAAAAAATAAACAATTTTTTGTCCCTGGATAATTTGCTGTCAAGTGCCGGGAAAAAACGGCGGCGAGATTTTATCCAAAAGTTTCGCCGTCAGCAAAATATTCAAACATGAGTGAACGTTTGAAGGATTTTTCCAATTCACACTCAGAATTTCTTTGGGGAAATAATTTATTTTAATTTAAATAAATAAATAAATAGGTGAGCGATGTGTGAGTATGGAATGTCAGCTTTCTACCACGACCAATTGGGCATTCTAGGCTCGGCGCGTCAATTGGCGGTGTGACCGAAATCACGATTAGAATGCTAATAATGTACAAGCAAGTGTTGTGTGTCAGATCGACGCGCGATGATCCAATAAAATTGCTATTCTTCATGCACAATTCACTGATTCTCCGTGCCACTGCCTTCTGTGGCACTCTCGATGGCGTTCGAGAGCGGAAGTTCATCTGTCTCTTGACCTGCTGGCTTGTAATACCTGAAGATTCTCTTCAGTGGGTACTTCGAGTCGATGGTTGAGAGCATTTTATTGAGGCGACAGGACATTTCTCCATCTCCTCGCGGGCAGTTCACTTCCTTCCGCGTGAAGGCGTCAATTGAGGTGAGAACGAAGGATGTCAGCTCGTTAATCCTTGCATTTCTCGACTCTGCAATTGAACAGAGGAATTGTGATAATTACAATTTAATGTGATAATATTCCATCCTCACCATTAACGTTGAACTTTCGGAAGACACTGAAGTCGTAGTCAGGACTGTGGTTGCTTTCGTGGTGTGTCGAGGACGATGTGCTCATCATATTCAGCTTGGGCAGGAAGAGCAGGAGGCACAGGATGGCAATGAATTTGACGATCTTCTTGAAGATGATCAATTTCAGAATGATCTTCCCGATTGTCACGAGATCCAGCTTGAAGTGGAGCTTGTCCAGTAGCCAATCTCTGGGCGTGCGATGATGCGGCACGGCGTAGTATTTGGGCGGTCCGGCGCGGAAGAATCCCGTGGGAGGTCCGTAAGCGCTTGGTGGGCCGTAGACTGGGGCAGAAGGACCGTAGGATGTCGGTGGGCCGTAGATTGGCTTTGCTGCTTCATATCCAGGACTCAAGTCGTCTCTTGGCGATCGAACACCTTCAAAAACAATATGTTTCACTGAAAATTCACATGATCGTCCTGTGATCCTCACCTGCTCCTGTGGCGTGGGATTCGTGCAAGGCGGTCAGGTAGGAATCCGTTGGCTGCTGCTCCTGCACAGATTGATCACACGCGACAATTGTCAGGCAGCACAGGAGAATCACAATTTTACCACTCGTCATCGTGAGCACAAGAACTCTTCTTCGGAGGCGCAGTTCAAGAGTCAGCGGCGAAGTGAAGACCAGTGGCACTGACCAGAGGCTTTTTGTGCGTGCCATCGGATGCACACAATCGGACACGGTGATCCGGGAGTGATTCGGTGCGTCAGGTGCACGAGGAAGTGAAGAGTGGGGCTCAAAGTGCCATTGAAAGAGTCCAGCGACCGCAAAATCTCAAATGGAATTGTTGTCTTTCTGGGCTGCGCGAGGGTAGAAAAGTGGCGCGAAAAATGTTTGTGTATGTAACAAGAAATGAAAATGAAAAGAATTCTTCTTTGACACGCGCCAAAAAGTCGATGGAAGACGAAATTTTTTGGGGCAATAATTCTTTTGCCGGGCAAACAATGGAGTAATATTGGATGATGGAACTTTTGCTCCAGAAAATCTCACGCGAAATTGATAAAGAAAGTCCACCGGTGAGTTTTTCTTATATTCTTGATTTCCACCATTGTTCAAGTGCCGCGGATGGAAAATGAGAGTAAAAATTTCATCAGTATGTCAGTCGCATTTCCATAGCATTGTCGGTGAAGAGACAAGAAAATGAAAAGGTCGCGCTATAAAAACACATGAGATTCACTCTTGCCGATAAACAAGAATTCGTGCACTGCAAGTTTTCTGTGTCTTCAATTTCACCGATTATCATTCAAAATTGAAGTGAAGTGAATCACGAAAACTTCCTTGAAGAAATCCTTGAAAAATTTAAAGCGCCTTCTTTTATAAAATAGTTTTATTTAAATATAAATATATCATATTTGTTAAAGATTTAATTTAATTTACTACAAATAACAAGTTAGCTGAGCTCCAAATCAACTGGATTCAACTTTTGTGGGCGTAAAGGATGGATCGAACTTTCTCAAGTCTTGTGCGAAATTCTTCATGAAGTACTTTTTAATCCTGCTTAAGAAGAAATCAAAATTTTAGTTGTTTATCTAATGTTATTGTAATAATTATTTTACCCTTTAAGAGGATATTTCGTGTCCACTTTGCTGAACATTGCATTTAATCGACAACTCCACTCTTCAGTGTTGCTTTGGCATTTCTTAGCTTTCTGGAAACCCTCAATTGCTGTGTAGACAAATGTTGCCAAGTTCTCCATTTCTTCAGTCTTCAATTCTGTGCAGAACATTCAATAGATAATCAAATGATTTCCCACTTAAATGCATCTCTAAACTCACTGTCGTCATTGAATTTCCTTCCAAATCCTCGCCCAATTGTCAAATGCTTGGCAATTGTGGCGAAAAATGCTGGCACGAAGAACAGGAAGAACATTATTGTGAAGAATTTGATGATTTTCTTGATGAGAATCACTTTGAGGATGAATTTCCCGAGCAGAATGAGCCCCAGTTTGAACAGCCAGCCGAATTTTGATTGAGACTCAACGGCTTCAACGGGAACGAGTTGCTTTTGGGGCTCCTCGTGATGAGGATACTCGAACTCTTTGTACTCGTACGTCAGCGTGTTTTCCTCCTCGTTGTCAGGCGGCAAACTTTGGTGCTTGAGACCCGTTAAGGGGTAGTGATTGCTGTTTGACTCCTCATAATCGCCGTGGCTCGCTTGCTGATGCACTTGGTGATGAGCTTTGTGATGGGCTTTGTGGTGAGAACTCTTGTGGTCAGCGTCGTATGCGGTTACTTTGGAAGAAATTGCAATATTTGCTGAAAAATGCTTCTTTATGTTGTGCATCCGATATCGCCTTACCATATTTGTATGCAGAAACTTGTGGTAATCCAGAGAAGGCAAATAATCCGAGGATAATCACTGTGCGCCAGGACATTCTGTGCTGTTTTCAATATAGCAATTTGAGGGATGATTTTTCAACTGCCAAGCGCATTAATTCGATTAACACTGAAGCCAATTTTGGACAAAGTACTCCTAATATAGTTAATCATTGACACCGAAATTGTCTCCGAGTGGGAGGCAAATTAATGGCAGATGAACCAACAGAAATTTGACCATAAAATCAGAATTGAATGAAGAAACGCGATTGGAAAGTGTGATAGAAATTTCTGAGACTGAAAAATATATACAGAAACTTCTTTAGTTTAACTACAACTTTCTAGATCAAACATTTCGCCTTAGAATTCATAGAGATTAAGAAGAAAATTTTCATGATTTTCAGATTTGAGGATTTTTAATGAAAATTTTGCGAAAATTACTGACCTTTCCCTATATTTAATGACTTATTAACAACTCATAACGTTTTGTATCATAATTTCTCTGTCCCAGAAAGAAGTAGTTGAGTTCACTGTCTTTTCGATATCATCCAAGTGGATTTTATGAAAGAAAATATCATGAAATTTGATATTTCTCCATCTATTGTGTCTCTTTCAGCGATTTGAAAGCAATTGAGGTGGCAATTTGACTTGATTTGGATCAGAATTTAGCTGGAAAATGTTGTTCTCAGGTTTGAATTTACATGAAAACCATAGATTGATTTCTAAGTTAGTTATCAGTGGGAATAGTGACGAATAAAATGAGTGAAAAGGCGATAAATAATTTACTGAATAAGTAATTAAATCAGTGATGGGTGAGAAATTACCCCACTTTTCTCATCACTCCAAAATGTTTTAAATCATCCGCAATCGCCGCGAATTCATCAGTTTATCGCGTTCGGTTCTTCGATCAAAGACCAAAGACTTTGGACATAATCATGAAGATTCCACAGCAATATTGTGTATTCATAAAGCTTTTAGTTCTAAGTCAATGTCTTAGAGAAATTAGTGGAAGACAAGTTGTGAAATTAAGTGAGAATAGCGAAAGAGTCGGAAGTGAAGCGAGATTGAGTGAGTGATGAAGGAAATGCAGTGATAATTTTCCCTCTGTTTAAATGTTAATCATTTTTGCAGTTGATAGAGAATCTCATCTCATAAACAGAGATGCTGATCTGGAGGATAATGATGTTCTATCGAAGTATTATCCAGCTGAAGATCATGATTCCTACGGAGATTATCCATCGTCTTACTACGGAGATATGGGAGAGTCGATTAAGTACAGAAAACCAGGCTTACACTATTTACACGGTTTGAGATTTCTCAAGTGGAAAGTGTGGATCTGGTCATTGGCAAAAATCCTCTTCAAAGTCATAATTGTGAAGAAAATAGTTATATTTGTCATTCTCACTTTCCTGCTGATCTTTGTGCCAACGATCTTTTCACTGTTCTCCTTCCACGGCGGCTACGGTCCGGGAAATCACGGACTCTTCAGGAGGTTCAACTATGAAAGTATGCAAAAAAAACAATGCAGTGTTTATATGCAGAATCTAAGAGTAAAAAATGTTCTTTGCAGAGTCAGAAAATGAGAGCATAAATGATCTCGCTGCGTTCGTCTTGACATCCATCGAATCATTCCAGAGCTCGAAGGAATGTACAGAAGAAAAGGAAGAATTCCAGTGTCGCCTGAGGAACATGTTCAAGACAGTCGCCAAGAAGTATCCATTGAATAAGGTTTTCAACAACTACCGAAAGGTATCTGACGCTGGCACCAAGAAATCCTTATGATAGACATCAAATTTCCTCTTTATTACTTTCTAGGATTGCTAGTTTTTTTTTGTAAATTCTCTTGATTATTTATAAAATAAATTGCTGAAGATCGCTAAATATTAACATTATATCTCCTCAGATCACTGACTAATAAAAGGCGCTTCGTTTAATGGTTGAGGATGGTTGAGATGATAAGTGATAAATGACCGTTTTAGGCTTGATTGTTGATCTTCTGCCTGAGTTTCTTCAAGAACTCCTTCGCCTGCTTATCTCCAATCCGATATTCCAAGGCACGAATACAATCTGTGTCTGCAAAAGCAACAGCCGGAGTGTGAGAAATGTGGCAGAAGAAAGTCACTCGTAAAAATCACTCACCTAAATTGATGGGTCTCGAGAGTGGAAGATGAATTTGCTCTTCGCCCATTTCGGCAATCTCGCCGAAACTCAAGTACGACTCGGCGATGTATTGATTGGACATCCCAAAGAGATCCTTGTCCTTCACACTGAACAGGATGATAGCATTTTTCATGGCTTTCTGCTCAGGCGACAGTGATCTGGAATGATTGTGAAGATTTGTAGATTCTACATTTTGCAGGGAAATTCATATTTCTCTCTTACATGACAAACTTCTCATCGAACAGCGGGAAAAGCGTCTTGTTCTGGGCATTCGTGCGCGGCTTTACAATCCCGACGAACCTCTCTTCGGGCAGAAAATGAATGCGCACGAAGGGATCACATGAACCATTGCTGTCCATTGGACGCAAATTTCGAGCGTTCATCACCTCAATCTGAAAGGATAAATGGCAGTTTTATCCCCAACAATTCAATCCTTTGGAAGTCGTAGGCTCAACTCACCTCGAGGACGAGATCCTTGAAGCAACAGCGCACCGTGAGTTGTCCATAGGGAGTCTCCCTGATCACCTGACACTCCTTCAGTCGCTCAAGATAATACTGATGAATGAGATCTGCCGTCTCGAAGCCATGCAACTCCAGCAGCTGTTCGATGTTGTTCAGCACAGCGCGATCTGAGGATTCGCACTTCTTGGTGCCCTTGAAGCTCTGGATCATAATCTGCAACGCATCTCTGAGGTTGGAGAAGAATGAAGGCGGTCGTCGCTTCTGGAATAGAATCGCAAGTTAGACAACATTTCAGAAAAAGATCCTTGAGACTCACATCGAGATTGCTCTGGACAAGATCGTAGAGGACATTTGAGAGCTCCGTCCAGATGGCATCGAGAATCCTCTCGAAGTTCACATCATTCAGCTCCATGTTGAGCGTCTTCAGCGACTCCTCCAAGTACATCATGAGGCGATCCAGTGAATTGGAGTCCTGATGGAGAAGTTCTGCCCCTTCGGCGAGGAAACGTCTCATCATGGGTGACATCTTCTTGGCCACAGTCTCCACCAGTTCCAGAATCTTGTTCTTCTCCGTGTCCACAGCATTGTCGATGACATTCTTCAGCGTTTCGGCGCATCTTTGCGCCTCCAAGGCGCTCCGGCAATCGCTCAGCTTCGCCACGATGTCATCCACGCCCAGTTCCTTCACGAAAGGCGGCAAACTCTGACGAATGTAGTCGATATTGTTGATGGCCAGGCACCACTCCCTCGTGACCTCGAACTTCTTCTCGTACACACTCTGAATCTCACCCAATCCCTCCACACGTTCACTCATCTTGTCCGCATAGAAGACGCAGCAGCGACAGATGTCGTCCACAATCTTGCCCACAAACATGTACGATCCCTCCACATCTGGCCACGCGAGTTGCTGCCAGAAGATCTTGATCTGATAGAAGATGGCCAGCGTGTCCACAGCCGATGAGCTGTACTTCACACTCTCATCCACAGGCACCAGTGAGTCCAGCTCAATTGCCTTCTCAATCCTGATCAGCGCCTTCAGCACGGAAATATCCAGCCAATGCGTGACACCAGCGGTGAACCACTTGTGGTAGTCATTGATCTTGTAGCTCGTCTCGCCCGGATCCAGCGCCGTGCCGAGGACGGCGAATCTCTTCAGCACCAAGTACAGCTCGAAGAGCGTCGTACCCATGTTTATCTCCTGATGCGTCTCCAATTGCACACTGTCTTGCGTCGGGATGTCGATTCTCTTGAGATTCTTCGAGATCTCCTCCACAATTGGCTCCACATATTCTGCCAATTGGCTCTCGTAGAAGCCATAAAGTGTCCTGGCGTAGTGGAACATCATCGTCTCCTGGAAGATCTTGTCATAGTACTCAATAGCTCTCTGCAGATCCGACCTGATGAGCTGAATCAGCTTGATGATGTGCTGCAACTTCGCCTCATCCGTTCCCTTCTGGCACTCCGTGTCATCGTTGATCGTGTTGAACCAATCATAAGCTCCAGCTATAACAGCATCCCTCAGAGCTCCTCTGATATCCCAATTGGGCTTCTCGCTATTGTCCTTCATCCATCCGTACTGCTGCACAGGAAAGAGATCTGTTCCTTCCGGAGGTTCCAGCATCGCAATCTTGGCCAGGATGTTCAACACATCGATGAGTGTCTTCACACAATTCTTATCGCCGGCGGTTTTCTTGCGCAACTTCCTGATGATGGCAAAGCACGAAGGCAGGAGTTTCTTTGTGGCATCCCAGAAAAGTTTGATCTCATCCGATGAGACGGATTCAGTCTGAATGGGACGGATCACCTTGTCCAGGAGCTTGTCGAAGAGACTAAATGCCAGAGGGTGTTCCGTGTGGATGCCAGCGTACACTGACCACTCCACCAGCGACACGTCCGTCTGCGTGAGTCCACTCTGCGCGGTGTGCTGCGTGAGGATGGACTCGCCCTTGTCTGTGAACTTCCCTGACCACCAGTACGGCGCCACTTTGGATGTCTCCAGCTCGTGCAGCAGCAAAATCCTCAACAGATGACGATGCTCCTGGGCAGCGACTTTGTTGTTCTTCTCCGAGCTGAAACTCAGTCGAACCTTGATGAGACCACGACTCTTCAGGCGATTCTTCTTGTCCAAATTGTACCACAGCACCAAACCAGATGCTGGAATACTCTTCAGTGGGATATTTGCCTTGCCAATCAACTCATTATCGTGCTTCCCACTGGAAGCCGTCACGGCAATCTCCTTCATGAGCTTCCTGAGTCCTCGAACGCCCTTCACGTCGAAGATCTTATTCATCTTCTCACGCACCGTCTCAGCTGGATCGAAGTCCCACACTTCCACCACGAGGATGTTCTCATTGGCATCGTCAGAGATTGGCCTGTGAAGGTATGAAAGTGAAGATGTTGGCTAGATGTCGCTTAATTGGATGGACTTACAATGAAAAATGCTCCTCCCAGTGAGGATTCAGCGTTTCTGGCTTCACAGATGTGTTGTATCGATGCGTGGGCACTGCGGCCAAGTACATGGTGACAAAGGGATCTGACAGTCCGTTGGGATCCTTGGGAACTAAATCTTTGGCTTCAATCACCTCAACATTGAGTCGGATTTCCGGAGCTTCTTTCGTCTTGGCCGCTTCCAGAAGTTCCTCATGACGGGAATCTGAAATCTAAATATCGCACCAAAAATATAATTTACCGGAACCATTAAAAATGGTGGAATTTTAATTGGGCATTTGCAGAGGAAATAAACGTAAACTCACCTTGAAGGCATCTTGAATGTAGGAAAATAGCGATATTTGACTAGTTTCAATTTCTGCGCCAATATTGTGGAGAATCACGTACAGAGACTCTTCGTAAAGCTCCTCCAACTGCAACAAAGCACGGTTTGATTGATGGAATCTTCATGTTTTATCACACAATTGAGATTTTCAAGGATTCTCTCTCTCTCTCTCGACTTGCATATCACTTTTGACCAGAGTTTTTGATGCACACTTGAGAGCCGAAAAGTTGTTTCTCAAGAGTTCAGTTGATTGATTGGAATTTATGGGAAATTAACGAGGAAAATTTGCATGCGTGATGCAAAGAATTTCATCAGCGAGAGTCTGTTTATTTAGTGCGATTCTAGGAAAAACAAATAAAAGGAGAACTTCTTCAAGGGACATTGAATGATCTTTCACCTCATTTAAACTTTAAAATAACTCTTTCAAAATAGACTTGCGATCTTAAACTGTCGTTGTGAATCATGCAGTGGGTCAAAAGGGGAACGACAATTTCCCCGAAGAAATTCACATGGCGAAAAATACTGAACATCACTGTTATTTCTGCACCATCAGTTGCTTAAAAACATATTTTTCACACTCTCTCGACTGATTATTCGTCTTATTTTCCATCCCAGATGCGAGAGAATCAAAGAAAAAAAGCTTTCAAACAGAAAATCACGATCGAAATACCGTCATGGAGTGAGCAATGAGGGTGTTCTGGTGCTCGAGGGCATCTCTTCTGATGCCCCTGAATTGATTCTTGCCAAGACTGCTGCTCCTCAGGAGATTGCTTCTCACCTTCTTCACATACTCATTATTAGACTCTGGCGATAGTTTTGCATTTCTACTCAAGGTGGCGTATTTGAACTTCTTACTCACGCCATTGGCACCATTCATAACTCTCGGCAGAGAATAAGTGTTCATCCTTTCACGAATTTATGTTCAAAAGGAAGAAGAAAAAAGATCACAAAACACTATAGAATGTTGATTCTATAGAATCATCACAAGTTGCATAACTTCATTCAAGAAGAACTCGAAGAAATCTGACGAAAATGAGTGAATTGAAGAATCACTGATTTTTCAGGATGATTTCTCAGATGTTATATTTAAAAATAGTCTCAACACCTTTTAGCTCTTTCACAGATTTATGTGACAGAAAGAAAGATAGGATTATTTATAGAAAAATTAAATTCACAGAGAGAATGACCGAAACAACAATAAAAACACACAAACACACGGTCAACGATCTTCCTCCAGAGACGAATGGACTGAAGATCACCCTGCGATCACCCTCGCGGATCAATTTTTATTAATTCAAGCCCCCGAGAGGAGCGCCGCGCGATCTGTTATCGTGAGACAACTGACTGTGAAAACGATTGATGATCGCGCTGGGAGCGAAATGCGCGGATTTGCCAAAAATCTATTCTAAGAATAAAATCACACCAGAGAAGAAGCCAACGAGTGGCCAGAGAAAAATTCCCATACAGACTTGCACAATTCTTCCCTCACTTCGTTCACAATCGTCAATTCGCCGCTGAGAAACTCCTGGCAGGAGTGCATTCGTCAGGAGAGGCCCAGAAAAACGCCCTTGACCCTCTTCGTTGGCCCACTTTGAGCGCTGAAAGGGAAATTTACGTGAATCGCCGCCGACGTTGCTCTCTGTGCCAGATTCTCGTCAACACAAATTAATGGGTCGTTGTCGTTAGTGAGGAATCGCGTGCGGCGGAGCAAAGGATTGGCAAGAATCAACCATGAAATTATTGTCTACAGTCTGACTGAATATCTAAACTGTTTCTTACTAGAATTCTCTGCATTATTATAGATAAAAAGTGTCTGAATTTAATCAGCAAACCTTTGGCCCAGTAAATTTTCGTGATATGCTATCGAGAAAGTGAAATGCGTCCTTGATCTTGATCTTGAAAGTCACGAACATCTAAAAATACACTCACATTCCATCCAATGGCATCCTCCACAAACTCCAGTGACTTCACTTCGGCGTCCTCCGGCTCGCTGTCTGTATCGTGAAGTGTCTCGTTGCCACTGTCACTCTCAGCCTCTTCGCCGAGGAATCTGGCCTCGACGGCCACCGCCTCCTCGGCCACTTCTGGCAGAGGCGCCAGAGGCGTCGCCATCCGCTCCTCATCGTGAATTGACTTCTGGCGCAGCAGAGAGCCGAACTTCTCGAAGAATCCACCGTCCAAGTCTTGAATTCTGCAGAGGGAATAAAAACCATCATGAAAACACTGTTGCGCGATAAGAATTCGAGACAATCGGGCGATAGGGCGAAGTGTTGAAAGCCAATATGGTGTAATATCTTGGAGAGTAATTTATTGTGCCTCTAAGAACAGTGCTGATATAACCATGTTTGGAAGACTTAATCAGGCAAAGTGTTGCTGCTGAATTAATTCAGACCGCCCAGGCACAGATACTTCGTGTAGACAAACTCATCAATGCCATGCCGTGAGCCCTCGCGTCCCAGGCCAGACTCCTTCACGCCGCCAAATGCCGCTTCGGTGCAGGAAATCGCGCTCTCATTGATGCCCACCATTCCAGTCTCGATTTTCCTGGCCACGCGGAAAATCTGGCTCACATCCTCACTGAAGAAGTATCCAGCCAAGCCACTGTTTGTGTTATTGGCCACAGTCAGAGCCTCTTCCTCCGTCTTGAACTTGATCAGCGAGACAACTGGCCCGAAGATCTCCTCATTGTACATTCTCATGTTGGGCGTCACGTCGCTGACTATTGTCGGCTCGTAGAAGAGCTTTCCCAGGTCACTCTTGGCTCTGCCACCAACCAGAATTGTGGCTCCCTTGCTCTTCGCGTCCTCCACAATTTCTGACACCTTCTTGAATTGCGCCTCATTGATGAGCGGTCCCAAGTTAACGCCATCCTTCTTGCCATCTCCAACGACGAGTTTCTCCACCACCGCGCGTAGCTTGTCCACAAAGGCTGGATAAATGTCCTCCTGAATGAGGAATCTGTTGGCCGAGATGCACGTCTGTCCGCAGTTCCTGAACTTGCAGCCCATCGCTCCGGCCACAGCTTTGTCCACACTCGCCGAGTTGAAGACAATGAAGGGCGCATTTCCGCCCAATTCCAGGCCCAGGCGCTTGATTCCCTGCGCACAGTGACTGTACAGGATCTTCCCGACGGCCGTGGAGCCCGTAAAGGACACTCCAGCGACGTTTTGGCTCTTGCAGAGCACTTCGCCAACGGCAGCGGCATTCTGTCGACTGCACGTGACCACATTGATCGCTCCCTTCGGGAATCCTGCGTCCTCAGCCAGCTTGGCAATGGCCAGAGCCGTCAACGGCGTGTCTTCGGCTGGCTTAATCACCACAGTACACCCTGCAATGACACCAATTGACTCCCATTAAAATTGCCACATCTCACAGACGGTCTAAATTACACTCACCAGCCGCCAGAGCCGCCGCGGCTTTGCGCGTGATCATGGCATGAGGGAAGTTCCAGGGCGTTATAAGAGCTGCCACGCCGATTGGTTGCTTGGTCAGCATCATCTGGCGATTGGGAAAGGGCGGAGGAATAATCTCTCCGTAGATGCGACGCGTTTCCTCGGCAAACCACTCCACAAAGGAGTTTCCATAGACACTCTCGCCGCGAGCTTCAATGAGAGGCTTCCCGGATTCTGAGGTCATAATCTGGGCGATTTTCTCGGCATTCTCGTTGAGCAATTGATACCATTTCTAAAATAAAAGGAAGAAATATATCTATATTCAATTTGATAAGAAAAGTGACTGAACGAGAAGTTATTTGACCATTAAAGAGTGTTGAGCAATTTGTATTGGGTAGGACAAGCGAGTTTTCATGGGCTGACTTAATTTTTCTGCACAGCAATTTAGAAATCTTAATGTCTTTAGCATTGAATTCGTTCAGTCACGAATTCTTCTCAAAAACTCACCTTCAGCAGTCCTGAACGCTCCTTGGCGGTCAGATTCTGCCACTCGGCGGACTGGAAGCGATCGTAGGCCGCTTGGATGGCCGAATTGGTGTCCTCCACGCCCATATCGGGCACGGATCCCACCTTTTCGCCACTGGCGGGATTGAAGACGTCGAACTTCTTCTTGTTCAGCGCCTCCACCCACTCCCCATTGATCAATCCTTTGTTCAGCAAGAGGCTCATCGTTCGCGAGTGTTGCAGCGCAGGAATTGTACCTGGTTTCACCACGAACCGCACAATTCTACTGACACTCAGCATTTTTCCTCACCACTTTTGTTATTTATCTCTCTCACTTCCCTCACGCACACACACTTTTTCTTGCTCAGTCACCGAACAACCGGTCGCTTTATTTGCTTCCCTCTAATCGCCGAGTCTGAATCTCTGGGCTCACAAGAAAGTGGGCTGTTGACACTGAGAGATAAGGTGATAAACTCCCGGCGAAGCAACTCTCCGAGTCCACCGAGAGCATTTCACTGACGGATCAATTGAAAATGCTACATTTTTTCACTTGGATCTGTGACGACACTCTTGGCGCAAGGTCATTTAAATTGAATCAATAAACACAGCTGAGTGAGGAAGAGAGACACCAAGAGGCCACACAACTCGTCTTCGTCACTCTTCTGCTTTGGCATTGCTGTGCAAAACACCTCTGACTCTCTCTAATTCACCAAAAGCACGATTTTGCCATCGCCGCGCATCCCATTCGCGAGTGGTGAATCATTGTGGGCTTTCTTAATTGACTCTGCTTCTGTCTCAGCTTGTGATGTTTGATTTATAAATAGCGAGGTAAATATTTACTGTCAAGAGGAAAGTTTCAAGTTTGAACAATTGGGACTTAATCTTCATGCTGGAAGTCTTTTTAGGCCAAATTCGTGCATGAAAGTCAGAATAATTCTTCAAATTCAACAGCGTCGATTCTTCAATTCACAAAGAAATTGATGTGCGTGCAATTTGTCAATTGCGACAAAATATTAAACAGTTAAGAGCTCGAGGAACGCCGCGTGTTCCGTCACAATCCAATTGAATCGCAGTTTGGATGACAAAACGCCCTGATGATCTCTCCGCGCCCGGAAAGGTGTGATCGCATTACTAATCACCGCTTAGAATGAGGAAAGAAAATCAATTGCGTCACAGTCATGCTCAATAATGTTCAGATGTTGGATTCCGCAAAAAACATGCAAGAATCTCTCTTTGTCGTAGTTCATATCTTCGTGTGAAGGTCAAAGCTTTCCAAAAAAAAGCATAATTTAGACACATGGCGAATATGATTAGTCACGTGTATGTCGTGGATCGGCATAATTTTTGGCACTTTTCAGTCTCATCATAGAGAATTTAGAGATTAATTCTCGGCATGTTGTCTGGACGCAGAACAACATGAGAGCGGGGATTTTTTGCTAAAAGAAACCATTGTGTGAATTGAGAGAAGAAACCTACTTGGACTCATGTTCAGTGGGTGGATTCTTTTTGATCTCTTGGAGTTTCTCGTAGATTCCTTTCCACATCAACTCTTCATCCATTTTTGGGTGCTGTGCTTATTATAAACCTCCTCAAAATCTTTAATATGCAATCCACCGAATCTTTCTTCTCTTGCCTCGCTTTACTTGAGATAGTGTGGAAGTAATGAAGAAATTTGCACCAAAGTGATATCACGAGTATTTTTAACACGTTGCTTCGCTGACAAACAGATCACAACAATATAACTTATTCACAACTCTATGAAGCCGGCAAACGAGCCACATTTTCCCTCAATCTCTCTCTGCATCTGCCATGGACAGTTCATCATTAATTGTGCAAATATACTAAATTGGATAAGAATGTATTTGCAATTCATACAACGAATAATGAAGATTATATTATCTCCTTATTCAATTCCACAACATATTTTTGGAGGATGACAAATTCTTCCCGAATTAATCATCGTTCTTCTGAGACATTATTTTGACTCACTTAACAAATCGCTTAATTGCATTTTTACTCTTTCTCCCTCTCTTTATGGCACAGCAATTTTGCAATAAAAAAAACCGCTGTTCTTTTTGCAAATTACTGAGCTCTTTAGTTCTTGAGAAAAAAAATATTCTCTTGCAAATTAGCCAAGGGTGTTTGGCATTGTGTTTAGCATACAAATAAAGAAAAATTACTCTCACGAGCAATCCTCGCAATACAATGTTCAATTTAGAGTTAAGAAATTTCCAAGCACTCGACAGATTCACGAGCTCAAGATTTGAGAAGAACTTATATAAGAAAAAATGCTCATTGGACAAAAACACCATTCTGACATCCGGTAGTATATTTCGCACCGGTGAATTTTATGGTAAGACGCACGGATTGCGCCCAGAAATCTCATCATTTTAACTTCTCCAACGCGACTTCATGGCGAGAGACAGTGGGAAAACATTGCATTTCACCGAGCAGAGAAAATCAATTGCCCTACTCTCAAATGTTCTGCTATTTGATAATCTCTGGAACTATTTATAGGCAATAATCTCAAGCGCACAAAAAAAACTCCCCCAACGTCACTTGAAAACAATGCAGAAAATTATAGTGAATTATAATTAAGCTGATTAGTTGAGTCACAAACACGTCAAATGACACTTGGGATGATTTTTTCTGCAAAATCTCGTGCCAGGGATTAAGTCAAACCCACTGTCACACTTCGACTCAGCCGGCAAAATCACAACTGAGGCGTCTCTCAGGCCGCAGAGCTCAGCTTTGCTTTCGCGCAGAGCTTCAAACTCTTCAAACTCTCAGAGTGAGGGAAGTTTTCGGTGAGTAATGAAGCGAATTAACATCTCGCGGATTTCATGACGAACAATTTTGAGAAAAGCGTTCTTTCTTCTCCGCGGTAATTGATGAAACATGAAGGTAGATGGAAAGGTAGAGTCTTTGATTTATAACTGTGGAATTGTTTCTGGAGCTACAAGAGACATTTGTTGAATATTTACCGACTTCTCAGCCTATTAATAGATTGACTTGTGGGCTAAATGAAAGGAAATTCACTCATGCAACTTGATATTCGTGAATCGTTTGCATATTAGTCAGTTCAAGAGCAGTCAAACATGAACGCACTTTTGGATTTTCCCTTCGACGTCACATGGCAGCGCTTAACCTCTTTAATCAAATCTTTTATGCAATATAATTACATAGAATTATGCGTTATTTACACATGACTAAGACATCACAACCGTGCGAGCTCCCTTTCGCATCTGATCTTGTGGTCTTCTAAGAAGCACGCCGTCTCTGAATTGCGTTCATTGTTGACTATGGAAAAATATATAAACTTCGCACAAATACTTGGGGATCAACCTTGAAAATCCCGCAGTTTCATACATAAGCACACATTATTAGTTCACTCATAATAGCGTTTTGTGAGAAAAATTGTCATTTGCATGCCTTTTCGGGGATTTCACGCAATAGACAGACACTGAAGAACATTTATCAGTGAATATTCTCCTTATCATTCAACAGTTTGCATGTTTGGCAATGTGTTTTTCCGCTGCATTAGTCAAAGTCTTTCGCCTAAATGCTGGAAATTCCACGAGAAAGAGTTAATTAACCGGGGATTTTTTTGATCTTATTCAACATTTCACCACGTGTCGGTGTAATCGCACGCGATCATCTTTTCTTTCACAAGAAGCTCGAAGACAAAGCAATTCTCCTGCATTTCCATTACCAGTTGTACAGAGAGATCAATTAAATTGTCGTTATTTTTCCTACTTCTGTTGTTATTAGTGATAAATAAAGTCAAGAAATTATTACACATTTCTTATTTCCTGATAAATAGTTTTTTTTCACACATGAATTAATTATAAAATCAGTGTATTTTATTAAGAAATGAATAGTCAGTGTGAATGGATTGGTTAAACATACATTTTCCAGTGATTTTCCAGGCAATCACTGGAGATTTTCCTTGATGATTAATGCGACACGCGCTCAAGATCTTCTAATTTCATAATCATTTCCGTTCACTATCAAACACAAAACCGTGGCAAAGACTTGACCTTCCGAAGTTTCATCCATTTGGAACATCATGAACACCACTTACTTATAAATAATTTAGGGATTTTTTCTATGAAATACAATTCTTAAAACGCACCTCTTCCTATCCATCTTTCTGGAGAACATTTTCAGCGGCGAAGAATCACTAAAACTCTATCACTTAAAGATACTTTCCACAATTAGGAGAAAAACTTTACAAACTCCACTTGGTAACTACAAATGCAGCGCTAAACAAATGCTATTTGTCTTGACAAATTGTGATCTTCTCAATTAATCCAACTGCACAAAAAGTCACACAGTCGACACACGACGTCTTTGCACCACGAGCAAGTGGATTAGAATGATCTTGTTTCCGAGCACGCGAGATAATTTGTACTTCAACCACTGTTGCGCAGGTTAAACTTTGGCTTTTGTCTCCAAAATTCCAACTTCAACTTGTGGCAAACACACACGGAAATTCGCTCCTCGGGTGTGTTTACATGGTTCACGGGCTTCGGAGCAACTGAGTTGGAGAAGCATTGCTGATCATGAGAGTCGCACGCCAGCAGAACTTCTCCCCCGATCGCTCCGCGTGTGCAAGTTTGCCTCAACCACAAAGTGAGACAGTATGTTGGGAAAACTCCATTAGATTTTCCTCAATAAAGACATTTTACAATTGCTCGATTGCGCAACATGTTGTTCCGAAGTGTGGTTGATATGTTAGTTTATTTAATTAGTTCAAGATACGCGACAAAAAGATCATCGATTTTTTTCTTTTGCCTGTGTCACTTCTTTATGAGTGTTTCTACATATTCAATCAAATCATTCTGGTGGATTTAAGACATCAGATAATTTTTATTGGATTTGTCAACATGTTGAATTTGCTCTGAACTTTTTTCCTTGCGGTTTTCTAAAAATACCCACCAAATGCGACAGTGAAAAATCCAGTTTTACCGTGAGAATCCCGGAAAATTGACATAGAATTCAATTTGAAAATTGACTTGTTATGTTGCGTTGGGATTTTCTTCCCATTCATTCATTTCTCCCAAACAATCTTTGTTTTATTACATGTTACAATCACAAAAACAACTTTTAGGATGTGAATCAGAAGTGAAGTGAAAAGCGTGGAATTGCCACACGAGCGAACGGAGGGAAAATTCTGCATTGTATTGTAATTGAGAGTGTGATAATTGACAAATTAAATAACCATTAAATGTTGATTTTTTTTCATTAATGTCATATTGATAACTCATATTTACATAATTAATTAGACTGGTTAGAAAATGTGCACAATAAAGATTTTATATAGAATTTCCTCATTTGCAGAAGGCAATGGTCTGTATAAAATTGATAAATTTCTCCAATTAACTGTACAAATTTTATAGAATTTTAATATCAAAATAACTTCAACTAAACACTTCCTCTCTTCGGGCATTTTATCGCAATGTTTTCAACAATCGATATCTTCAACAATGTGCCTAATTAATTACTTACACGATTGTTATTTCACTTTCAGTTTCAGTTTCATCATTTATTTACTATCAATCAACATTTCTTCACTTTTCCCTCGACTGGCTATAAACCACGCTTTTTTGGGGCTTCACTTCCTCACTTTCGGGTTATGAGAGAATCTTGCATTTATGAGTGGCTTTCCCAAATAAAAGCCCTCAGCGGGAAAGGTGATACACAAAATTTGTGGGAATTTGCCACGGCGAAACAGCGAAATTCCTCAACATAATTGTGTGGACAAATATTTGCAGAGTTTCTCGGGTGATTTAAAGTGGCACTCTGACGTAGATTTGTGTCTCTCAGGCCACGGAAAGAATGAATCATGGGCAGATGAATGTCCGCCCAATATGGGGAAATGTATATTTTACAAATTATTCATGCTTTATGACTTTACTCACTGTGATCCTCTGGATTTCTTCCTCAGAATCCCCAACGTGAGGAACTTTCTCCACGATTTCGGGCCGCTGCTCTTGTCCGTCGCTTTGTTTTCAACACTGTCGTCGTCACGAGGGAAAATCATAGATGGACAGAAGATGAATCTCGGTGCAGATTCATCGTTGTTCATGGGCTTTGCTGATAAATTCACTTCACTAGAGCATCTCTTGCGCACTTTAAAGTCACTGAAGCGGAAGAGATTCTGAAAACTGCCACTGAATCGCGACTTGAGGGATTCACAATTGCGCTCAGTGGCAACATTCTTTGGCCTTAAGTTCACTTTGCTGAAAGTCTTTGTGCCAGAATCCTCAACCGGAGCGACTGTGCTGTTGTTCAATTTCTTGAGGAAGAAGATGTTCTTGTTGAAGTTGAGTTTGTTGATATTGTGCGCAGCAGCTGTGGCGAGATTATCATTCACACTCTCGATCTTGTCCAACTTATCGACACTGGAGTAGAGGAAGTTCTTCGAGCTGCTGCTCTTCGTGATGAAGAACTCACTGTTGCGATGGAGAATGGAGTTGAGATCAATGGTGCTGGAGTGTTCAGTGCTACTGTAGAGAGCTGACGAGAGAGAGTTTCTTTGGTTGTTCCTCAGCGCCGTGGCACTCTTCTCATCGTCACGCAGTGGCAGCATCTCGCGTGGTTCATCGCAGGACTTCACGCGGATGAAGTGCGTGTCCTCTGGGGATTCTCTCAGTTCTGGAACACTAATGGCAGGAGCCACAGTGTCAGTCCGGCCAAAGACTGTGCTCTGCTTCGCCTTAACGTTCCCCATTGCACAGAGATTCTCCACCGAAGACGCTAAACGGTTGAATGGTGCATTAGAACTGCCCTGAAATGGACGGATGGAAGACTCTCGAGCAGTGCTGGTGTGAACTTCAGCCGGAGTCTGGTGTATCTCACACTCAGTCGCTTCCTCATCTATTTTCGGCCAATCTTCCTGAAAGTACACAACAGCGGAAGATCAATGTTAGTTCTTGCAAAATCCACCAATTTGTCAACACACACACGCAGAGTTTAATGAAAACCAACTGTGAGAAGCCCAAGGAAGGGAGAAACTCATTAGAATTTCCTGATTCTGAGAGAAGGTCGTCGTTGTGTCTTATCGATGAGGCAAGAGTAACACTACTGATGGAAAAATTGGCCAACACTCTCTGCTCGCTTTGCCAAAAATAGCGTTTTCACGGACACGCGAAAGTCGACACTCTTTCCACAGTGAAAAACCATCCTGAGTGCCACATTGGTTATCGATTAATACACAAGCTAACGACAGAGTGACTCAACAAGCACCTGCTTTCCCGGCATTCGAATCCTTCGGCGCACCTCACAATGTTTCCATGGCGAAAAGGGGGTGGCGGCGTAAGTAAACACCACCCGCGAGCCGAGCCCAAGAATTAGATTTTACAATATAGCGTCAGGGAGAATTACCTGCGATTTACATTGTCGACTGAATCTGTTCCGCTTCTTTGGCGCTGGCAGTGAATCTCTCTTGGCATAGGCGGCCTCTTCGAAGTCCTGCGGAACATCAATGGCACTCTCTCTGTACCTCCTCTGCACCACGACTCTTCGTCGTCGAAATGGCTGGTCGAACTGATGGCCAGCATCGGCATGGACACGGATTTTATTGGCCTCACTCTCACTGGAGGATTGCGCCTGATCCGCGAAAATAGACTCGCACGATGTTGATTTATTTGATTGCAAATTCTCAAGAGTTCCCACAATTTTTGCCACACATCCAGTCGCCGAGGAGCTCTCAATTAGCGATGTCGAAGATCTGTTCAAGGAGAAAGTGTGCAGAAAAAATCTCAATTAGAGATCTTGAGGATAATTTATGGGGCAATTTCACTTGAGATCATCACCTTCTAACTGGCTTATCATTCTCCGCGTCCAATTGCTCATATTGCTGTCCTCTGCTAATAAAAGTCTTCTTGATCTTTGGCCTCTTGTAGATTCTCCACTTCTTGTAGGATTTCATAGTATTTTCCGTCATTTCTTTGCGATCATCCATTTCACTTCAGTTTCTTTGGAGTTCTTTTCAAATCGTACAGTTTTGCCTGCTTTCTGGCGATTTACTTCGCAATTTTTTTTTGAATATAAATCCTCAAGAATCACACATAAGAAATCACTTTAGTTTGCTTATCTATCTAGAACACGGCAAAAATATTGAGAAAAAAATCTCACTTCACAATCTTGTAGAAATTATAAGAGAGAAGGTGATAATAATGCAAATATAACACTCTCATTATCTCGTCGCGCGGATTAAGTGTTTATGTGCCGCTTTTGGAGCGGCTGGTGTGCGAGTTGTATGGCAAAACAGGTGATCCGACAGGTGATTCAGTGATTATTTATAATTAATTCACCACCAAATAAAAACAGTTCACACGTTAAGTAGCAAATAGTCACTGTCTTGGAATTATCACTGCAATTCTCAGGAATTTCACTGGTTTTCTCCTAAATTGTCAATGAACAATGCTTCAGCAATTTCATCTGCATTCTTTTCCTGCTATGGAATTTTACTCTTCAGCGATATTTGCATAATTTCTCGATGGAAAACTGAGATTATACGCCAAGAATCACTCATTTGGAAAGATATTCGTCTATTTCGCCACACACTTTTGGTCATTCACTTCACGATCACTGTACAATGATCTCGCGTTCTCTTGAGCAATTCACCACCGCGGTTTTCCGCACTTGCTGCAGACATTTACTCTTAACATCCCCGGAGGAAAGTGTGGAGAAAAGTGTGCGTCTGTCACTGGTTCGCAGTGCGTGTACACACTGAGTGATCGCGAAATGAAAACTGAATCACTCCGTGGATCGACAATTGTACAATACTCTCTGGTCACGCTTCTGTTGCTGGTGACTCTCCAGTGGAAGTGGCATTCGCTGTTCCTCCTCCCCACAAGTGCTGTTCGTCTAGGCTGGGGGCCCATTCTTCCACCGTTTCAATGCACCTCCACCACACACATTTAGCAGGTGAATTGGTCAATTCACCGGGATCCCCTTAAAAACCATCACCCACACTACAAATTCGCCTCTTTTCATTCAATTTCTACCCGATCATCGGAGCATAAACAACGATCGGTGTTTTGATTTACCTCTCTTGCCTCCCGGGCGCAATTTGCCTGGAAAAAAGAGATCATTTGCAGTCAAATGCGGTGGCAGAAAGAATTCAAGTGAATAAGACAGAATAATGGATAACACAAAAGTGCAAACTCTGTCGCACTTGATCAAATTGACGTCAGGATTAAAGTGGAATTAATTGAGAGATCTTTCTTTTGCCCCTCAAATTCCTCCCAATGATTTCTTGGATTTCTTTTGTTGTTGTAAATTTGAAGTATTTGGATAATAACCATAAAATTCATATTTTTCACTACACATTTCTAAACGCAAAGGTCATTAGTTCTTTTATGGTTAAATTATGTGCGGAAAAATTTCGTAATTAGAGCTTTATTTTCGTAAAAATATCATAATAATTACTCGCCCACGAAATCTTATACATTCTAATCCTCAAATTTTCAGACTCATAAACCGCCACTAAAATAATCTATTATAAGAATATTTTCTTCGTGATGAACTGTAAAAATTGTCACACGACAAAATGTGACAAATTCTGCTGAGGAAAACGCCCAAGAAATGTAATTAATTCATCGTTTAAATGTGCACGATTGCTTTGTTATACAATCAAGCACAAAGGCCAAGACAGTAAAGAAATTGGTGAAAGAGTCGGAATTGATAAAGAGTTCAAAGCAAGGCAAAAAAGACACAAAATTTGACCGTCTTTCGAGGCTTCCTTTTTGGCCAAGAAAATCATAATATTTGACTTGTCATTAAAGAGTTATTTTCATTGATAAACACCCCCAGTGAGTGACTCTTCAAGTGCTCACCGATATTGAGTATTAGATTTGATCGATTAGCGAGTGCTTCGACTGATAAAGAAGTGCAAAAGAAGTGAAAAGTGGAGCAATGTCGTGATATTTACAACTCCGTTTTACTACCACGAATTAAACATTCTCTGAAGACACTTTTATCAGCTTATGACTCATGTTGATATCAAGTGCTTGAGAAATTTTGCAGATGATGAATTTATGCTGGTGGAGAAAATTCTGAGAGAGTCTTTAGTTGTTCTGGAACACGTGCAGCACTTCCCATCGTGAACATGACACACAATAGACGTCACGGTCTTTGACCTCTAAACAGCGGCACAATTTATAAATTTCCCTCCTTTTGTCTCAACTCGTGGTCAAGGCTTTTCTCTCATCTTCACGGAGACTCTAAAATTCTAACATTTTTCCTAATTATCATCATGTTAAGATCAACTAGAATTATTAACTCTTCTGAGAATCGAAATACGGCAGAAATAGATCATTTCCCATCGCATTTAGAGTGGATAAACCAGCAACATAAATGAGTTTCCCGGGAATTTTGTCCATCAATTGGTATCAATTGAGAGCATGCTTACCAAAATGATTCCCAGTAAAACTTGTGAATTGTTTACCTCAATTGATTTTTCTTAATTGAGTTTGTCTGTTAATCTATCAAGAGCATCATTGACGAAACGTCTGCATCTCATCAGTCATCTCCGTCGGTCAATTAAGCAGCAAATGAAGGAAATTCTTTGTACTCACGCGCTTACTGTGCATTCCTCAGATGCGCCGACGATTGGGGCATTGAGAGTGTCGGATAAGTTCGAAGACGCTGCAACTCCAGCAATGTGCTCAACTCTAGAATTTGTGTGTGCTGACGCTGAACCTTTCGCACTAATCTCGTTCGCTCGGCGATAATCTCAAGCCTGAGATTTTGTGCTTCAATTTCCTGCTCCTCCAGCGTAGAATCACGCTGAGCATGTTGCTGAGAAACATCGAAATTCAGTTCTTGAATCTTCCTATCCAAATTATCATTCTCACGCTTCTTCTGCTCAATCTTCTCCTCCATCTCTGTCACTTGTTTCCTCCTGAAAATGGGTTTTTGGAATATTAAGTGGAACTTGGGGGAAAACTGCCCCCATTGATGAACTCACATGTCACCAAATGACTTCTCACAGGAAGCAATCATCGCCTCTATTTCACGATTCAGCGCCGCCTGGCTGACATCCTCTGTCCAGCCCTTCTGTTTCCGCTTCAACCACGTTTGCACCTCTTTTGTAATCTAGCCGTGAAAGAGTGGCACTTCATTTAGACACGGAAAATTGGCCCACATTCCTTTCATACCTTGCACTTCTCAATCACCCTGACGAAGTCCTTCATGTCTCTGATGGTCATCTTGAGGACTCTGTGCTCCCACTCCTTGTGAATGAGCTTTCGCCGGAAGACGGCCGCATTGGACATGGCCACCAATTTCTTCTGGCCAGATTTCTTAATCACCCGATTGATGTCATCGACATCAATCACAGAGAGTAAAATTGCGTCGTCAAAGTCAGAAATTTTGCCAGTCAGTGGAATTTCAACATTTCCACGCTTCATCACAAGTTGAATGGTGCGATTGACGGAATTCTTTTGCTGTGCATGAAGAAAATTGCATCATTAATTGAGGAGACATACATTAAAATACACCCTTTCTAAATCTAATTATACTCGATTCTCTTTCAGATCCTCCAGCTTCTTATCAAGGGCTGCCAAAGTGGTTCTGCGTGCGCCAATTTCCCGCGCCAAAGCATCCACACAAGCGTCCGCTTCAGCCAGCTGAACGCCACAGCTGCGCACCTTGAATTCACTCTCAATCTTAATGCGACGCATTCGACACAGAAGATCCCACAGTTTCTCATCCATGGTGGGACAATTCGCCGGCTGATCAATCTGCTCGATGAGGTTCAGGTAGTCGAAGCACTCCTGCGGCAGTGGAGGACCGGATTTTGACACATTCCGACTTATGACTCTCCTCGCGAGATCCATGAGGATCACAGAAGTCGCCCAGGCTCTCATTGTCCACCTCGGCCGACGCCTAAAAGAGCAAAAGCTACAAGTTTTCTCCGTCTTAAAAAGTAATACTCAGTGATAAACTCACTTGAACAGCTTATAAGCTTGATCTACTATCGATATGGATGCAAATTCGCCGAAGTTATTCTTGAACTGCTTGTCCAGGAGGCGATCTTTCGACTCAAGAGCGTCATAATTCACTTTACAGTCCATCGCTCTCTTCTCGGCATCATGCATCGTGGCGGTGAGGGCATTAATCTGCCTCTTGATGCTGATGATCTCCTGGCGAATCTCATGCTCTTGCCTCGTGAATTGAATCCTCTTGTAATTGTACATGGCATTGCGGAGAATCTTCAGATCTTCCTGATTGATTGCCATCTGCACCTTCACTTTGATCTTCGCCACTTCTGCCAACTTCCTGTTGAACACGTAAATCTGCCGATCCAGAGTCTCCTGCAGCTTGTGCTTCTCGCACAGCAACTGATCTCGATATTTTTCCCGCTCAGCATCGAGGAAATTCAATTTCTCCTCATACTCTCTCACTGCTCTCCAATCATGCTCATCGTACTCCCGCAGATCCTTCTTTGTCTGCACAGCCGCCGGGATGACGGGCATCTTCTTGATCTCATCCTCCCAGCGAATCTCAAGAACACCATCCATCATTTGCTGCAAAGCCCTCTCACGGAAGTCATCCGCCATCAACGCCAGGCGCTTCTGTTCGGCCTCAAAAGCCTCCTTCTCCATCAATTCCCGCATGCTGGGCGATATGTACGGCTCAACGGGCACTTCCTCATCGGTCACCTGGACAATTGTGTGCGGCTTCTCTTCTGGAGTGTACTCAGGATCGATGATTTCATCCTCATACACGATATTCGTCTCAAGGAGTTCAGAGAGAATGTTCAATTCACTCTGAATGTCTCGCAAACGATTGTTTCTCTCCTTCACAATCTCCATTTCTCGCTCCTTGCGCTCCTGCAAATCGTTAAATTGCTCGTTGAAGAACTCTCTCAGCGCCAGTGCATCGAAATATCCAAAGATCTTCTCCACGTGCATCTGCTCAAAGGTCACAACTTCCAATTGATTGTACCGTGGCAACTGAGAGGTGATAAATTCACGTGCAGACGTTCCAGAAGCCAATGGAGTTCTTGTTGCCTTGCCATCGTCCACTTTGACTTTCTCCAGTGACAAAATTCTCGGCTCCTGGGCCAGAACATACTCCAGTTGACTGGTGGGAATGGGTTTCCACGGGAGAAATTTGTCAGAATTTGTGAGATTCTCCAGACGAATCCACATCATTATTTGACTGAGTCGCTTTTCCCAGATCTCATCAATCTGCAGCACTGGATAGTTTTCAATGAACAGACTGGAGAAAATCCCTCGCACTTTTGTGCTCTTCACAGACATCTGATCCCAGCACGACTTTCTGATCCATTCTGTTATCTCATTCTGAGCCGCTATGAACTCCTGCATCTTCCCAATTTCCTCCTGTCGATCGCGTTCGGCTCTCTTTATCATATTCTCCACATGATTTGAGTCCAAATTGAACTCGTGAATGGGCAGTTTCTCCTCGTCAGGACACACTTCATTGTTGTCCAGCAGTTTGCCAATCTCTCGCCTGAGATTGTCCAAATCCCTGAGAATGGAATCACGCTTCTCCTGATACTTTTGCCTCTCACGACTCTTCTGCTCCATTCGCTGCACTTCCAGCCACGAGGCGTCGCCGAATGTGGCCGCTGGCGTGTGTCCTATTGTCGGACAGAGACACTTCTCGCGGATCTCCAGGCGACTCAGCTCGAACTTCCCACCTGCGTGGCTCAGAGGCATGATTTTGAGATTCGGCCGGAAGCAAATGAGATTCCCGGTGAATCCCAAGCAGACAACATACTCCAGAGAGTGACTCACGACAGCCCTCTGAACACCGTGAGTCCTGCGGTGGTGAGAAATGAAGCTTGTGATGCAAGTCATTGTGCGAGAATCAAAGAGACACACTTGGCCATCGAGTCCCCATGAGAGGATGAAATCTCCACATGTCTTCACTCTCACGTACTCCAAGAGATGATCGGTTTTCACATCTTGCAGCACCACAAATTCCAATTGATCAGCATTTTCGGCCAATTTGAGGATCTTCAAATTGGAATCTAGATAGAAAGTTGCCACGAAAATGTCCTGTTCATTTCGCATTTCAGTAATTGCTGTCAATTTCTTATCACAATGCGAAACAGGACGAAATGTTATGTCTTCTTCAGTAATTGTGGTCAAAAGTGTCTTATCAGAGGCAACTTTTGAGCCATCAGCTTTGAGTAATGCGAAAATCTTCCAGAAATTCCCACCATTTTCCGCAATGACAAAATCCAGAAGGTCCTTTGGGAGGGAAAAGTGTCTCTTGATCTCTACAATTCCACCAATTTGTCCTGTTATCACAAACATCTCCTTTTCAGCATCAAAGACAACAATTTGTGATGCATTTGCGGAGAACTTGATCATTCTTATTGGGGAATTACAGACGTGAAAGCCAACCAAAGGTTGAGGATTTTCCGCCGTGTACAAAGACAACAACTCTACATGTCCTGAAGAATATCCCAGACAAATTACTGGCAAGAGTGGATGAGAATCATGAGCAGAAACTCCAACTTTCAAATACTGCGATATCAATTTGCCGGAACTCACTTCGAAAATTGAAACTCCTCGACTTTTGTCCATTGTGGCTAAGAAAGTTCCACCAGGATTAATCAAGCTCATCATGTGGAAGATTCTCTCGCGCTTCTTCACCTCTTTGGTGTCAATCTTGCCCTCGGTGAGGAGGATTTTCCACACAGATCCTGTTTCATCCACTCCAGCAATTAAATCACTTGAATGCGTGCCCAAGAAACGCAAATGGAGATTCTCCGGAGACACAGAACACATTTCCGTGAACGCTGTGCCATTCTGCTGAAAGAGGCGAATAGTGTGATTCACTGAGAGAAGAAATCCACCCTGATGCGGAGCGATCAGGCTCGTGGAGTCTGCAGAAACTTCCTGTTTGGTCTCCTGAACGATGCAAAGCGATTGATTGCTTCCAGGATAGATCTGATGAACGCTCCCCTTCCTGGTGGCCACAAGAAGAGCACCACTGAAGAGATAAGTGGCTGTGAAGGGACTGGATTCTCTATCGAAGCTCAGTTTGATCTTCTTCTCGATCAATTTCATCGTATCGACGCACACGTGAATGTCCCAAATGGTCAGTTTTCCAACTCTCGTTGCCAATTGGCAGAGACTCAGAGGCTGAGATGGTGAACAGAGGATAATCTGATCGCTGGCAAATATTCCACTCTTGCGGGTGGCCAAAAGCTGTCCAGATCTCCAACACCAGATCTCCAGAACAAAGTCCGGAATTCCAGTGAGAGCAATTAGATATTCTGTCTCAGAGAATGCCAAGGAAAGGTAGTTGGTCACGCCAGAACCTGTGCAGGAAAATTATCTGAAAACTTCTAGCACGCCTAAGAAGTGGGAAACTTACTCTGCAGCCGGTAAATTGTCTCGAAAGACGGATAAGATTGCACGAGAATTGAGGGTGATTGCGAAAGCTCAGCGAGAGCGAAGATCTGCAGGGATTTGTGCCCTGCAATGCAGGATATGCCGTCACCTCTCTCAAAGGAGTCCGCTCGGTAAGTCTTCTCATTTCCGGTGGATGTGTCGGTGAAGACGATGGAGTTGCTGTGTCCGGAAAAGAGAATTCCTTTTCCCAGGAAGCACGATGATTCAACATGTTTGTGTTTCACCCAACTGCGGATATTCAGAAAGTGATCAGTAAAGTGATAACAGGTGAAGAGATAAACACTTACGAGACTTCAATCAGCGAGGATATTGAGGGCATTATTCACACTCTTTTATAGAGAAGAGAAAACAGGAACAACAGGAAAGATCATCGAACAAACAAGTAAATAAATGTCTTGGAAACGCAATTTTACTCGCTCATCTCAATGAATCTCGAATTCTCTTCATTCTGAGAACTACTGTATTTATTCTGCGCTTTGTTGCACAGCAGAGAATTTTATTGTGGGATTTAAAGTGATATTTTATAGAGAAAACCAGAGCCGGTTTCCTAATTCAAGTGTAACCTCACTTTTGGCTCAGTTTGCGCGCTTTTCGACACACAGTCATCGTGTCGATCAGCGTCCGCAGCGCCACTGCGGCAAATTTGGTGACTGTGCGGGGGAGACGTCAAGAAATTAGGCAGAGAAAAATCGAAATTGTTTGATAAATGTGAAGAGAGCAGGAAAAAGGCGTAATCCGTGTACATAGAGAGCTCATTGTGGTCGAGATGAACGTGAAAATGCCGGATTTCAACGTGAAGAAGCTGGTGAAGGAGGCGGGCAGCACCCTGTCGCGGGTGGTGCAGGTGAGTCTGAGTGGGGGCTTCCTGGGTGATGACTTCGTCATGCGAGCACTCGAGCTTGATCGGTTTGTTTGTGTTTTCCTCTTCTCGCGCTATGGCAAAACACAGTTGACGGAAGAGAAGCTGGGCACGTCAGAGAAGACGGAATTGGACTCACACTTTGAGAATCTCAGCGAGCGCGCCGAGTGCACAAAGCTATGGACGGAGAAATTGGTGCGGAACACAGAGGCGGTGCTGATCCCAAATCCGGGCAATCGCGTGGAGGACTTCATCTTCGAGAAGATCGAGAAGAAGAAGCCCAACCGCCTCAGCAACTTGGAGTACCTCGGCCTTGACATGATTGAAGTGAGTGTGAAATTTTCCACTGAGCCGGGGAGAAGGGAAATACGACGCAAAATCCGCATCTCTCTTGTGTCCTCCGTAGGCGGGCGGGGAGTTTGGCCAGGACGGCGCATACGGGAGCACGCTGATCAAGGTGGGACAGGCGGAGCAAAAGCTGGGTCAGTGCGAGAGGGACTTTATCGGATCGGCCGGGATGTGTTACACGCAGCCGCTGAAGAAGTTCCTCGAGGGCGAAATGAAGACCATCATCAAGGAGAAGGGCATCCTGGAGACAAAGAGGTGAGAGCTGCAAGTGCTTTGTCGTGAGAGTGCAATTGTAAAGTGTCCTTTTTCCCCTTTGCAGATTGGATCTCGATGCGTGCAAGAATCGCGTGAGGAAGGCCAGAAGCATGCTGGGACAGCAAACGGTGAGTCATTCCTGCCAAGACTGCAGTCACTGAAACTGTGTCTCTCCCCTCAATGTAATTTACTAATCTAGCGCTTTCTGTCTTGGTAAACATTGCTCTCAAATGCTGCTGGCAAATTAACAAAAAAATGCGTTTTATAGAAAGATGGAATTCCGCCAGAGGTGACTCTGGAGCAGGTACTAATCTCGCTAACATTCCTTCCTCCAATTGCTGATTTGTTCACAATTATTCCTGCAATTTTACTCCAACTAACAATTGGACTTTTTCCCCTGACTTTACTCTCTCAAAACTAATGTGTTTTGTTGTGTTTTTCAGGCCGAACGTGATCTTCGAATAGCGCAGTCTGAGTTTGATCGCCAAGGAGAGATCACGAAACTCCTGTTGGAAGGCATCAGCACATCACAGTCTAGTCATTTGCGCCACCTTCACTCCTTCGTGGAGGTTCAAGTGCGCTACTTCAATCAATGCGTGGAAATCATGAATGGACTGCAGCGCGAATTGGCCAGGTGAGTTCATCCCAGAAGTCTCCTGCCCCTAAAATGTTCAGTACTTTTTCCCCCGTAAGAATAACCCCGAAAAATGTTTATATTTTCTATTAATTTGTCGTTAATTCCCTGTTTTTTTTTCTCTTCAACTTTCTTTCTTTTTCTCTTCCTGTCTTCTTCTTCTTCTGAACAAAAACCAACCCCGAAATAATCGTTGTGATCCAACTTATGTCTCGATGTTGTTCCGTGTTTTTGTTCGTGAACAAACAAACGTTGAAAAACAATCTTAAAACAACTCTTCCGAAATCCTTCCACGTACAGCATGCGTCCTCCAACGCCTCGCTTGCGTGTCAATAGTGAAGATCTCGTAGATTGTGACGCGTCCGGGCCTCCCTTTATGCTAACCACCCACAATGCCACTTCCTCCTTGTCCGCCATCCACAGTCAGTCGCCACAATTGAATGCTTTCATTGCTGAAACACCCACGATGAGGAACTTGCAGGGCGATAATGACGAGATTATCAATGCTTTTGCTTCAATTGGCCACACTGAGAATATTTCTAGTGTCTAGAATTGGCGAGAAAGAGAGAGAGAGAGAGAAGAAAGTCGTTGGGGTGCAAAAGAGTCTGGTTTTTCCTTTTGTGATGTGGGTGGCGATTAGACAACAGTTTGATTGCATAAGAAGAAGTTATTGATTTTCGCCATATGGTTTTTGTGAGACACATATTCATATTGGCATGTTTGGAAAGAAAAGAGAAGAGAAAAAAATAAGATGTTTCGGTAAATTTCCGCTATAAAATATATGATGACTTATTGTGAAATTATCATATCATGAAATCATGCCTTAAAAGTTGTTGTAAATATTTGTACAATTTCTTGACAGAAGAGACTCTTTTGCTCATTGAGAAATTACTTGAATTCTGAAACTTCTTCTTTTTACATCTTTCTAATCTCAATATAAACTTCTCTCTCTTCACATTTAATTGCCTTCAATTACATTGAATCTATATGCAATTGGATGAATTTACAGTAGAATATAAATGTTTCATTGGATATTAATGGGGCGTAAAGTTGATTCTTGTTTGTTTTTAAAGCAATTTAAGACTGTTCGTTCTTCGTTGATTGGCATTGAATTGTTTTCCTAAAAGCAGTCATTTAATCTTCAAGGATTGATTTCCAATAAACACTGAAAATACATCAAAATTAGAGGTGATTTCATACCGATTTGTTTCGTATCGTAGTTATTAAAATAAAATTGATAGATGATTTTATTTAATTTAAAAGTTCTGCAATTGATGTGTATTAAATTGCTATAAATCAAAAACACGCCTCGTTGATATTCAATGAACGTAAAATTGGAATTTATTTCGAGCTTCAAATAGTCACACAATCTTTTATTTTAGTTTCAATGCTTTCTCTTTATTTTTTCCTTATTTTGCTCTTTGCAAGAATAGAATTTTATCGTTGAGATTGAAGAAATTCTGTAGGATTTTAGCAGCGTCGTGTCAAAATTGAATTTCCCTCCTGGAATTTAGCCAATGATTTTTTTTTCCTTTTCTTGAGTTTCCCAAAAAAAAGTGCAAATGAGGATGATTTTTGTATATAATTTTCCTATGAACGTGAATTTATTAGTTTGGGAGGCCCCAATCCGTATGTTCCCGTTGGACTGCCCGATGAAAAGGCCAACAGCGATGCGAATGGTAGCGAAGTGGGTGGAGGAAACATGAGGCGGGCTCGTGTCCTGTGTTCTTATGACGCCAGCGGAAGTACAGAGCTCAATTTGACGGCAAATGAGGTGTGTAAATTGCGTGTGTGTTTTATTGCACAATTTCACTCTGCTCTGCTCTCGGGTTTTTCAGGTGATATTTGTCTCAGAATGTAATCCACCGAATCCCGACTATATGCATGGGAAGCAAGGTTTGCTCAAGGGACTCGTGCCACGCGCTTTCCTCGAGATGCTCGACGATTGAGAAGCAACAGCAGCGGGTGTGTTTCTCCAGGCTCTGCTGGCGGAGGAAATGTGTGCGCGTGAGTGAGTGAAAGGAGAGAAAATTCATAGGATGCAGAGAGGACAAAAAAAGACACATTTATTGTGGAGGACAAATAATTTATTCACTATACAAAAAGAAAAAGAATATTAACGATATAAAAAATATTTACTTATATTTAGAAGAAGAAGATGGAGAAGAAGATGTTGGCGAAAGCATGTGAGACACGCAGTCGGTGTAGTTGTGAGATGATTTAGCGAATAATTTAACAAGAAAAAAAAGGATTAACAGTAAGGAAGAGAACAATATTACTTAATGCAACGCAATACTCCCTGGAATAGACTCACAAAACATTTTCCATACAAATATTCAGTGTCATTCTTATGCAATTAACCAAGAAATCACATTGGAAACACACAATTGAGGAGAGACTTTAGAATTTATTTAACACATCATTTCTTTCACCTTCACCTCAAAATGCAGAGTTGAAAGTGTAGCGAAAAATAGACTTGTTTAGAATCTCTGATGATGAGAAATCATGTTGAGCAGTGACTTTAGTTAGTTTGTTAAACACTTTCAGTGACAAATTGAATAATCACGAGAAATTATCACTGAAATTAGAAGATATAATGAGCTTAATTGGCTTAATTGACGCAACATTTATTCTTCAAACTGAATTATTCAGTCCAAAATGCTCGGTGATTTTTTCCTCAAATTACCGAAAAAGATCATTTCTAAGCCTCAATTAAAAAAAAACGTCATCAAATGAAAATGCTGCCCTCCTGAAGTTAATATTTCCTTTCTTTATCAATTCTTCAAAAGAAATGTGTTTCCACAGATTTTATCTCATTGATTTAATTCAATTCTGCATTACTAATGCAATCACACTGCCGACCAAATTTGGATCTCAATATTTTTTTGTATATTCTCATTGAAAAAAAAGATTCATTCATTCATTACAACTTCAATTCTCTGTGAAAGAGTTTATAAAGAAGAGAAGCTAAAAAATGTCCAAATTTCTGAAAAGTGTCGCATGAAATGCTATTAAAAATTGCATAATTCCTTTGGAAAAGCTGTGGTATATTTGTTTATCGTGTTTTATTCTGATCTAATTTTTTATTTTTGTTTAAAAAAAAAACTAATATGAATATTGTGAAAAAAAGACACTTTTAAAGTCAAATTATTGTATTGAAAATCATCTATTAAGGCTTTTATCAATTCCTTGATGTGCTTTTTTTCTTTTTTCGAGAAGAGTTAAATGAGGAGAACGAGAGAAAATAATAATAATGTATCAAAATTTATTCAATTATATTAATCCTTGTCTCAATTATATTTCACTGAGAAGATGAGAGAGAAAAAAAACTCGGGATGAACTCTTTAATGTCATTAAATTTAATAAAACTCTCTAAATCTAATTAACTTTTAATGAACATTCTTCCATTGTAATTGTTATTAAAGTGAATCTATATATTTAAAGAGAAGAAAAAAAAACACTTTATCTTCGTAAAAGCGACACATTAAGAAACTCACTATAAAAATTACTTATATTATCGAATTATAGTGGAATATTTAAAGGCAAAGAGAAGAAATTACTTTTTAGCTTTTGTCGCCATGTATGTTGTTTGTCAATTATATTCTCCTGAAGATAATGAAACAAAACAAAAAACAAACTATTTAGCGTTATCAAGGACAGTGCAAAAGAAAAGGATCGCTTCGTTCAATTGTTGAGAGTGCCTCTCGTACAGTGGGGTGGGGTGTTGTTTTGTTGGGTGTTGTGTGGCAATAAGCAAAAAATAGGCATCACAGTTCTTGAATCTATTTACCATCACACGTTGGATTTCTAGAGATTTTTCATTGATTATAAGAAGGAAGGAAAATTAGAGAAGAAACTCAATTATAAAAAAAAGCTGTTTTTAGAGACCCTGCCTGAGTGACTTGTGAAGGATGTTAACGAATCTTGCAGAAATTTTTTGTTTTATTTACCAGAAGAGAAAAAAAAACAATAAATTTGTGATGTGTTTAAAAGGAGAGAAAAAGACAATTTCTCGCATAGCAAAATTTATTCCAAGAGCCTCACAAGCACACGCTCCAGAGCGATGATTCCGGACCCAGGAATAAATCCAGATTGAGGGCATTTTTACTTCTTCTTGGACACACCGACAGTCCTTCCGCGACGACCGGTCGTCTTGGTGTGCTGACCCCTCACGCGGAGGCCCCAGTGGTGGCGCAGACCGCGGTGGGCGCAGATCTTCTTCAGTCGCTCGAGATCGTCACGGAGCTTGGACTCCAGCACGGCCGAGGTGAGCTGATAGTACTTGCCGTCAGTGACGTCCTTCTGCCTGTTGAGGAACCAGTCCGGGATCTTGTAGATGCGTGGATTCTGGATCACGGCCACCACTCGCTCGACCTGCAAACAATTCACACGCACACAAATTACAATCCCTTCATTCCCCAGGGGGGCATTTGCTGAACTCACCTCCTCGTCCGTGCACTCTCCGGCACGCTTTGAGAGGTCCACGTCGGCCTTCTTCAGGGCAATGTTGGCGTAACGACGCCCCACGCCCTTGATGGCAGTCATAGCGATGGGCACCTTGCGCTTGCCATCGATATTTGTATTCATGAAACGCAGAATATGCTGGAATTTCTCCGGAATTATCAGCGACTGCAGAGAAAAAGAAAATCATTTATTTCCACGACGGCTCACATAACCTCAATATCATGTGAAATTTTTCTTCGTGATTTTCACGCATTTTTCACTCATTGCTCCACAAAATCTCATCACAAACTCATAGATAAACTATTCATTTACGAGTGTGATATATTTCCAGTGAGGAAATGGTGAAAAATCACGAGGAAAAGTGCAAAAACTGCGCCACAAACCATGTTTCCGTCTTCACAGTGACTGCTTCGGGAGGAAAAGAGACATGGCCGAGCGGAAGCTCAACTGTCATACAAACTGTTATACCAAGAAACCCATAAACGGTATCTATCGATAAGTTGCCGTCAACAGGTTTCGCATGTCAAAACAAAGTGCTTGTATGCTAGGAAAATTTGTGCTTTCTCGGGGTAAGAAAACGGAAAATCCACGAAAACTCCATGTCTGATGAATATTCGATTGTGATGTATCATGGTGAATTCAACAAGAGTCGCTGTGGATACTGCAAAAAGGAGAACACGTGCAATTCTCACGGTGAGAATGTCGCGTAGAGTTCTTTGTCATGCAAATCAATGCTGAGCGAGTCCTTTTTGGGGCATTTCTTGCAGGGATGACGGCACACGTAATGGCCGTAAATGACTATCAGGATCTCATTGATCGAGGCTGGAGGCGTTCTGGTACATTCTGCTATAAACCCACAAATGCCACAACTTGCTGTCCCTCCTACACAATAAGGTTAGAGAGATCAGAGGCAAGAAAAAGTCTCAAGGAAAGAGATTCTTAAGACTTCTAACTTTGCAGATGTGACGCGTTGAACTTCAAATTGTCCAAATCACACAAGAAAATCCTCAAGCGAATGAACAAGTTCCTGCGAGATGGGATAAAGGAGTGTGGAGAGAAGGAATCTGCCCATGATGGGGAATCTGACGTGGCCAGTGAGCCTCAGATGATTCCACCGGCTTCCGCCACTAAGATAGATATCAGTAAAATAGTGAATAAGTTGCCCAAAGGCAGCGACAGGCCGCCTAGTGAATCAGCACACAAGGTTGAGCCTTCGCAGGCGATGGAGAGTGGCGATAGTCTGCCGAGGAGTGCTGGTCAGAACATGTCAAAGCCGCCGTGCAAGAAGGCGAAGGTTCTGCGTCTGGAGCGGAAGCAGGCGAAGATGGCACAGCGAGAGGCGGAGGGAATCTCTGTGCAGCCTCTTGCCAAGGCGCCGAAGAATGTGGAGAAGAGCCTGGAGGACTTCCTGGGCGAGCAGCCAGTCGATGGGAAGCACAAGCTGAAGGTGAGAGAGAGAAGATGCGGCGGGTTCTCTGTGGCCCCGGCAATAATCCTAGAACTCTTCTGTATGCCCCAAATTCCAGGTGAAACTCATTCCATCCGCGAAAGGGGCCACAGGTGAAGCACTAGCACTGTATCGAAAGTACCAAACTGTGATCCATCGTGATCCGCCGGCCAAGAACACCGGAGAATCCTTTACACGATTCCTCTGTCGATCACCACTTCAGGTTTCTATTCCCTTTCTTGTTGTCTCTCTCTCTTGTAGATTAAACTGGTGTGCGCCACTTCGCGTGAATTTCTGTCCAGTGTGGAAAGGGAGTATGAATTGTATCAGAAATACCAGACAGTGATTCACAGGGAGCCACCGGAAGATGTGGATGAATTTCAGAGTTTCTTGCAACACTCCCCATTGCAGCTCAAGCTGAACAGCACATCGCCGCCGAAGGGCTACGGATCCTTCCATCAGCAGTACTGGCTGGACGATCGTCTCATTGCCGTGGGTGTGATTGATGTGCTGCGCAATTGCGTCAGTTCTGTCTATCTCTTCTACGATCCGGAGTTCAGCTTCCTCTCTCTCGGCACGTACAGCTCGCTGCGTGAGATCGCCTTCATGCGCGAGCTGCAGAAGTCCTGTCCGGAGCTCAAGTACTACTACATGGGCTTCTACATCCACTCATGCCCGAAGATGCGCTACAAAGGGAAGCTTCAGCCGTCCTATCTCCTCTGCCCAGAGGTCTACACGTGGCATTTAATAACGGAAGGTGTGCTGAAATCCTTTCCATCCTGCGCTCCTTGTAATTGAACACTCTTGTCTTTGGCAGATCTTCTGAAGAAGCTCGATCGATCAAAGTATTCAAGATTCAATGAAGATGAGCAGGCGAGAGATAAGGATGAATTCCAGCTGAGGCATCTCGAGAGTGTTGTTTGCTTGTACGACAACACTATTATGTACTTTGAGGATTACATACATGTGAGAGAGTCTTTTAAAATAATCCCATTTGAGATTAAGTGTTTCTGATCACATTCAACTCCCCCGAATTGCAAAATAAGCTGATAACCGACATTCATCGCTTGTTCCTAATCACATCAGAGCTTGCAAACAAACATTAGATTGAAAATATTACCATATTTTGATCGATAAAACACATCAATCATTCCGAATTTCGCCTCTTAAACGACTGATTTCGTGTAGAACTCGTGATTTAATGCGTGGGATTTTCTCAGATTTATTCAGAGCAATTAGTGGTTGATAAATTGCGCTGTTATTGAGCGATCATGTGATTTATTTATCAACTTTTTCTGCTTTTCAGCTGCACGCCGGCGACGAGGAGCGGCGATTGACCCTCGAGTATGGTCGTTTGGTGGGAAGTCCTTGTTCACGAAGGATTCTGCTCTATAAAAATTGATGCAAGAGGCAAAGAAAAGAGTTGGAGTTTAGTTAAAATAAATTAAAGTTTATTCGTTAAATTAACATCTCATTTAGAGTTTAAATGCTGTTTATGCGCGACAATTGCTTTAAAAATCTGTTGTTTTTTTCATCTTTCGTCTAATTTACACACACAAAAATTGTCTCTAAAAACTCTTTTGATGAACTCTTTTGTAGCTCTGATTTTTGTGTGTTTTCTGCAGAAATACAGTGAATTCTTGTTCCGCCTGTAAAGTTGTGTATAAAATATATTTATAATTTACATCCAATCTCTCTAATATGAAAATCTACAGTAGACGATTGAATTTTCTTGTGTTGAGGAAGAACTTTTATGGGGAGGAAAAAGGGTGTAAAATTGGGAGTTCTTTTGTACACAAATCTCCTAGTGATCCTCCTTGATCTTCGTCAGGAGTGCATCACAAGTCTTCTTGGCGTCGCCCAACAGCATTGATGTGTTTGGCTTGTAGAAAATGGGATTGTCCACGGCAGCATAGCCAACGCCCAGCGATCGTTTCATCACGACAACCTGCGCAAAAAAGAGGAAAGAAGTTAAGAAAATCTGCATTAATTCAATTTCAGGACAAGAATTTCACCTGATCGGCCTTCCACACTCTCAACACCGGCATTCCGGCAATGATGGAGTTGGGATCATCTTCAGCGGCACTGTTGACGGTGTCATTGGCGCCAATCACCAGCACGAGATCTGTGTCCGTGAAGTCATCGTTGATCTCCTCCATCTCGAGCACATCGTCATAGGGTACGCCCGCCTCGGCCAACAGCACATTCAGCTGTCCGGGCATTCTGCCCGCCACGGGATGAATGCCGAAGCGCACCTTCTTGCCCTTGCCCTTGAGGATGGACACCATTTCGGCGATGGGATATTGCGCCTTTGCCACGCACAGCCCGTAACCGGGCGTGATGATGATGTTCTTCGCATTCTTGATCATGTCCACGCATCCGTCCACATTCACTTCCGTGTGCGTGCCCGTGATCTCCATGGCCTTGCCGCCGCCCGTGGACAGCGTGCCGTAGCCGCCCAGGATGACATTGGGCAGTGAGCGATTCATGGCCTTGCACATAATGTAAGACAGAATGGCTCCGGACGATCCGATCAGCGCACCCACGATTGTCATCAGGTTGTTGTTGAGCATGAAGCCTTCGGCGCAGAGCGCCCAGCCGGAGTAGGAGTTGAGCACGGTGATGACCACGGGCATGTCGGCGCCGCCAATGGCCGCCGTCAGAGTGACTCCCATGGCGGTGGACATGAGCGATGTGGCGCCCAGCAGACCCAGGCCGCCGGCCATCGTGGGCTCCATGAAGAACATGCCCATGGCGAGGGCGTTTCCGGCCAGCAGACCGCCGTTGATCAAATGTCTGCCGGGCAAGAGCAGAGGATTTGAGCTGAGAATACCCTGCAGCTTCCCGTAGGCCACCAGCGAGCCACTGAAGGTCACGCCACCGATGTAGGTGCCGAGGAAGAGCGCCGTCTTCAGCACATTGGCCGCCGGATCTGTGGCCAGAGTGGGGAAGTCGTGCATGTACGTGGCGACGCACGTCAGCACCGCCGCCAGACCCACCAGACTGTGGAAACCAGCCACAAGCTGAGGCAGATCTGTGATTTGGATCCTCTTGGCGATGATGCTGCCCAGGGCGCCGCCCAAAGCCGCCACGCCGCCCATCTGCATCAGCACATCCGTGGAAGGCGCCATGTAGCCCAGAGTGGCGGCAATTCCGCCAGTGACGCCAATCATGCCCAGAGTGTTGCCCAGACGCGATGTCTTCTGCGACGAGAGTCCAGCCAAGGCGCCGACGCAGCACAAACTGGACGCCAGATAAGCCATTTGGTGGATCTCCGGAAAGCCCTACGGAGGAAAACAAGCATGAATTCATTCAGAGATTTGTCAGGGATTAGAGACACTCACGGTCATGGCGGCGTATCCGTAGCCGCCCAGGAAGACGGCGGCTGGAATGCCGAAGAGCATGTTGTGCTCTGGTGGATCTGTGGGCCTCTTGAACATGTCCAGCATCCGCTGTGTGACCAGGAAGCCGCCGAAGATGTTGATGAACGAGATGAGAGCAGCTCCAGCTGCCAGCGATTCGATCGTGTTCGAGGGAGTCACGCCGCCGCCCATCAGCAGCAATCCTCCCACGGCAGTGATGCCCGAGATGGCGTTCGTCACGGACATCAAGGGCGAGTGGAGAGCCGGCGTCACGCCCCACACGGTGTGATAGCCCACGATGCCGGACAGACCGAAAGTGGTCATCATGGTCGTGAAGGCGGGATTCGGAGAAGCCACGCCGAGAGCCAGCAATGTCCCCAGACCCGCTGTGTACGTGAGACTGGACTTGAGTTGCTTCTGGAAGGGATCCTCTGGCACGGGTTCCGCCTTGGCGGGCGCTTTGGTGTCCGCAGGAGCCGCGGCGGGCTGAGCGGAGACGGGAATGACTGGCGGTGGCCACATGAGTTCGCCATTCTTCAGGATAATTGAGCCACGGACAACTTCGTCCTCCAGGCGAATGTCGAAGTGGTTTTGTTCGCCGATGGACAGGAGGAATTTGCTGATGTTGTTGGCATACAAAGTGGAACTCTGCGTGGGCAGACGACTGGCCAGATCTGTAATGCCCACGTGAACCACATCGTGCACCACCTTCACCTGCCCAGGCACCGTTGTGGCCACATTGCCGCCCGCCTCGGCCGCCAAGTCCACAATCACACTGCCGGGCTTCATGGACTTCACGTGCTCCTCCAGGATCAGCACGGGTGCCTTCTTGCCGGGAATCAGGGCGGTGGTGATGATGACATCCACTTCTTTGCACTGCTTGGCGAACAGTGCGTGTTCGGCGTCGATGAAGGCCTGACTCATCTCCTTGCTGTAGCCACCGGCGGTGCCGCCCTCCTCCTGAATGTCAATGGTGAGAAACTCAGCGCCCATGCTCTCCACCTGCTCCTTCACCACGGAACGCGTGTCGAAAGCCCTCACAATGGCACCCATGCCACGAGCCTGACCAATTGCCGCCAATCCAGCCACTCCACCGCCGATCACGAGGATCTTAGCCGGCGGAACCTTGCCGGCCGCCGTGATTTGTCCCGTGAAGAAGCGCGGGAAGTGATTGGCGGCCTCAATGACAGCTCGATAGCCAGCAATGTTGGCCATTGAACTCAGTGCGTCGAAGACTTGTGCTCGAGAAATTCGTGGAATGCAATCCATGGCTGAAAAAAGGATGAAAATCATCAGGAATTGCGGAAAAATTGCATTAATCAATTGTCCTCACCAAATGCATTGATTTTCCTTTTGCCAAGTTCATTCATAAGATCCTTATTTTGTGCCGGATAGAGGAAGGAAATGAGGGTGGAATCGGGCTTCAGCAGTGGCACTTCTTCATTCGTTGGCTGACGAACTTTCAGCAAAATGTCCGAATTGTAGATGGATTTGGAGTCCACAATCTTAGCGCCAGCTTGAACATATTCATCATCGCGAAACTTCGCCTCGAATCCCGCTCCGGATTCCACATTCACATTGAATCCCTTCTTGACCAGCGTCGCCGCCACGGCAGGCGTCATGGCCACACTGAGGAAGACAAAGAGTCCATGAAATTCAGCAATTACGGAGTAATTTTGAGTCTTCTCACCGTCTCTCATTATTCCATCGCTCTTTGGGACAGCCAATTGTGAGATTTTTGTAGGCAATCCCCTTCACAGCCTCCACGGGCTTCCCATCCTTCTGCAGAAGCTTCACAGATCCCGAAAAGAGTCTCAGCGGATGGATTGGTCGCGGGATGCGCAGCAAATGCTCACCGCTGAGCGTGCAAAGTCGAAGAACGCCTCGTGTCATTTTTCTCTGGAAATCACTTTCTGCACCGCGAAAAGAGCGTTCGCAATATTATATCTGCAGAGCAAGAGAGAGAGAGAGAGAAAGAGTCAGATTGAGCACCAACTTTGGCCAATCAATTTCTGACCCATTTTCTCATATACAAGATAAGGAATATTGTCCCCCGACCGAGAACCATCTTCTGGGTCACTGAGACATGTCAGCATCTCGCACTCTCAACGATAAAGGCAAAAGTGTGAGATGAATTGATGAAAAGGTTCCAATTGAAAAGCTTTATCATCGCAATTCGCGCATGCAAAGTGTGACCAGACGGAAGGAGGAAAAAGGACATTTTTTTCTTTTTAATTCTGAATGATGACGTGTGTTATACTTACCCAAATGCCGTTACAACCAATTCTTGAGCGTGACCTTGAATTGCATAGAACTTCTTCAGTGTTATCTTTGCTGAAGAATATGATCCTAATCACAGAATGATTCTATATGCAGACCTGCGAGAAAGTTGTGGAGTTTTACAAAACATAAACACATTTCGAATGCAAATTTAGCGTATGATTGAATTACAAGTAAGATAAGGATGAAAAACGAAAAATAAAGGTACAGTAAGAGGACTTGGCAATACGTTATGGTAAAAGTAAGGTTAGAATTGACATTTCCAAAATGGCCGATCTCGCTCCTTTATCGCTTTTTAAAAAATAAACAAAAACATGACAGAACATTAACAAAATTATGCTAGAATACAGACGCAGAAAGAGAAACTTGACTCTATTATCGTCTCTTCTCTTTCAAGTGCCACTTTGGATTTGTTTCTTTCAAGTTTAAACTCATGCCTCAATTTCTCCACGTGTTTCCGGCAAAGGTATTCTTCAGGTAAATAATACATAAATTCCTTGGGAATTCTTGCCCTAAAACATAACATTTTTTAAAAGTCTGAGTTTAGTTAAGAAATGCAGAAAAGAATCAGTTAAATATTATGCTAACAATAAAGCATTTCTCCACATCAAATTTGATAATCAGTTATTCAAATAATCAGTAACGTTTTGAGAAACTGTAAAAATTTCATATCTCGAGTCATCCTGGATCGTGAGAGTTGTTCGGTCACTTTTTGCCAGTTCCCCGTCAATTCTCTCTCGCGCTGCGCTCTCGCGAGAGATTGCCGGAGAGCATTTCCCCTCCGGCTCTCTCGCGCGCCGGCAAAGCGGGGGCCCATCGAAAGGGACGGTGAGAACGGCGCTTGCGTCCGGAGTGAAGAATTGAGAGCGCGCGATTCAGGCTCGAGAAGCCATCGAATGTTCCCTCGTTCGCGAGAGTGTTTGAGGCGAAAAAGACGAGATTTTCAGTACTAAAATGGAAGCAACAAAAAAAGACGAGCCCTTCGCAGTTTCAGTGGAATTTTCTCCTTCTCTCCCCTCTCCTTCTCCACAAACTCTCGGGACTTCAGTGGTCTGAGAATGGCTTCTTTCTCTCACT